CTACGCTAAAATTACTTTATTCCCGAACTTGTATCTTCTCCACTGCTCAAAACACAGCTGAAAGATGGAATCTGAATGGTGTCTGAAAACCTACCCTCTGTCTATTCTTACAAAGAACGTGTTACTTAAGGCTGGAAGAATAGAGGTAAGTTCACATTAACATCCACACTCCCCCCTTCCCTTTAAGCCTTGTGTATAGTGTTCTTTTTTATTGCGGGCTTGTCAAAACTAGCCCCAAGCGTGTCACTTCAAGACGCATGCGATACTTAGAATCCCTGAATTCACTGAATTTAAGGCTGCTAAGGATACACACAGTAAGGGCTAGAGACGAGCTAGCCCCTGCGTTATTGTAACCGTACAAATAAGCTGTGTTATGGCCAAGACATCACTATTGCATTCTCGTGTCTCCTTAATTACATCATGATAACGAGAAATATTAATATTTTGATACAAATTTGATCTCAATAAACAGAATAAAATATGAATGAATATGAAAATTTAATACAACAACAAAATCAGGTGGGGCTTAGCCCCTAATGACGCACCGCCCCTGGCCGCTCGACATGCAAACCGTGGCCAAATTCCCTTCCTTTTGGCCGAGGGCCGGCAAGTCGCTAATTTACGCCGTCTTGCCATGTTGGTGTCACCTGAGTCCCATCCGAGCTACTTGTCTGGTTCTCAGAAGATTTTGTAATGCCCGGTTAATTTACAAGGGGAATAGTGGGGGGGGGGATGTGTTTAACTCCTACACAGTAGCACAGTTGTTACTCGGCAGGTTAAGGAGTTCAGATCGTTTTACGGAACCCCGATGTTTACTAGCATTTATGAACACAAAAACTGAGTCAAGTCGGTAGTACTCCTTTTTTGTATTCCGTTAGATCCTCGGTTCAAATATCGGCCCCGAAACCGCAATCCTATGTATGTTCATGGGTTTCCTCAGTGCAACCAAACAAATTCTGGGATAGAAACAGACTTGGCTGAGATGCTAACGTCTACAGACTTTCCAATTTATTTAGAAATCACAAATAATTCGACACTGCACACACCTGAGCTGCCGATAGCCTCGTCAAATAGATTATATAAATAAATATATACATATAATATAAAGGAGGAATATAAGGTTGAGAGGGGAGCTCTTAAGTTACACGGTTTCGGGTTAACGTAGCGCTAACGCGTTGCATGGATGTGAGTTATGAAGTAAGTCACAAACGAGCGAGCAGTCTTTCGTTTCAGCGTGTAGTATCTTAATCTGAGTATTAATGATGTTATGGTGTGGATGTGTGAAATGTAATTTAATATACTGACTTTTTATGCGTGTCATTCGTGTGAGACAGAGTTAAACGTCTGCCTCAACGTATCATTCGGTAACAGGTAGGACTGGGGAGGAACACGGGAGAAAGCAGGGGGGGGAGGGTTAAGAGAACGAAAGCTTGTATAACGAATGGTAAGAGTTTCTGTTGAATTCTCAGTACGTGTTACACTAGCAAATAAATTAAGGCGATAAGTACTCTGTGACGAGGAGTCTTTCTTGAAAAAATGGTAGACACTTAGCTGATCAAAGATTTTTCTGTTTTTTTATTTCTTTCAACCAAAAGTTTCGGGGGCTGACCTCAACTCTGGCCCGCTGTAACAACGGGTCAAAAGCTCTCCCCGTTAATTTGACCTTGAACTCACCTGTCCATGAATATCCTTTGGTGTGACCATAGCATCGGATGAGGTTACACTTCACCTCAACCAGTATCTGATTGGTTGAGGGCATAACGTGGTGGTGTTCGCTCAGAAAGCGTTCCATTTGAGCGGCGTTTCTGCCGTCCACAACGCTGAGGAGGCGTCCTAATGTGGCTTGTGTGAGGGACGCCTGGCGCCCCGTCATCTGGCGTCCACACAGCTCGCACTGCCACTCTGACCCTGCTTCCAGCGGCTGCAAGGGAAACATGGAGCCCTTGCACGTCTTCGTCAGACATTTGAGGGCAGCCAGGCGCGATCCTCGCTCCTGCAAGTCAACAAGCCGAAATTTCAGTATACTTAACTTAGTTCTTACCAGTCTATATAGAACAGATTTGATGAAGTATAATTCTGATACGGAAGGGCGTTGGAATTCCATACCCAATCCTATGAACCATTCGTCAAAATGTTAAAATACTCTGGATTCTTCCCACACAGCGTATTTTCTGTATGTTTCATATCATTCTGAGATTAAACAGCGATTTATTTTCTAATCACCATTAACCGCCTGGTCTTTATAATGAAGACATAGTGTTTCCTGTGAGGTACGAACTGAACTTTTCAACACTGTCTATGTCAAATAGGATTCGCGTATTTAAAGCCGGACTCCTGGCTACAAGTCAGTTTGCATTCGGAAGGTCCTGTGACCGGCCAACTCGATCAAGGTTTTCCGTGGTTTTCCTCGTTCCTCAAGAAAATTCTGAGTTGGTACCCAAATTCCACGCTGCACTGCTTCCTTCACATGCAGTCCTCCCACTAGTAATATCAAAACTTCGCTCTAGTGTAGCCTTCCCAACGTCATACAAAAATAATTCCGATCATATGCAGTGCCTCTACCAGAAGGACGAGCGGGCACTGCCTGGGAACTTTAACCCCCCCTTCCAATGTAGTGTTTTCACTACCTCCCCATTTTCTTTCCCTTCTCTTTCTTCAAGATTCAGCAGTAAATTTCTCAAGTAAATAACATTTTCGCATCTTGTGACTGGCAGCAAATCAGTTGTACTCACAACTGCAGCTACAGTTCATTCGGCTTTACGCGTCAAGGGATTAAGCGCACTTGTTGCTAAGATGCGATGCTGGAAACACGGGCCGGCGTGTCAGATGAACAGAGAATGGTAATATTGGTACTGTGAGAAAGGATGCATTGGCTCTTATGTTACGCACCACTTCTCCTGCGCCGAACCTTGTGGTGCTTGTGGTGCTCGTGGTAGTTCGAGAAATTTGTGCAAGAACTTGCAAAATAAATTTGATCAAATCCAGTCTAATTCAAGAATGCAGTCTTCTGGGATGTAGCGCCGTGTAGATCTTGTATGAACCTACGTTTCGAGGAACGTATCGCCTCCATCTTCAGTGTAATTGTTTTCGAATTGTGCCATTTTTCCCTCTCGCTCCCACTTCTGAGCATATGGCTGAGTTCTCAGTTTTACGTCCGTACCATCATTTTTACAGACACCAGGACCCCTAGGAGGGGTGATCAGCTCGTCGCAAGGCTTCTACCTGAACACAGGACAATATAATCATAAAATAAACGCATACACACACCAAACATCCATCCCTTGTGTGGGATTCGAACCCACGAACCCGGCTACCTAGCGAGCGAAGACAGTACATGCCTTAGACCAATCGGCTGCAGCGACCGGCGAATTGTGACATTGTACAGTATAAAAAATCGCTTCGGTTTAATTACCTCGAAAACTAAAAGACTTACGGAAAAGTGTAAAAAGTAAGTAAAGCTATCCCCATAACGGATGCTTCACTTCTCTCCATAACTTTGGTAGGAAACGGAAGAAAAACGCCAGAGTTTCTCAGAATTTCAGGCAGGTCTTCACGTGAAGTGTCCGTTATTGTCCTCGCATTTTGACCAAAAGCAGGATGTGTTTACACATTTTAGCAGAAATCTCCAACATTGATTTCCATAAACGTGTGCATGCAGACAGACAAACATGGCGAAGTCAGTTGGCGCAACCCCGTAAATTTAAATTGCGACTGCGCGGAAGGACACACGTGCGGTATTGCGATGGGATGTTTGAGTTTTTACCTGGGGGTCACTACACCGTGGACAGGTGCATAGGAAATGCTTGGTGATTCCGAGGTGACGTCTCCTGGCTGGTGAGCCCCACAGCAATGACGTGTAAGTGTTGGTGATCTCCGCTCCGGCCGGTATGACCACGGTTGCCCGCACAGTCATCTTCTGCCGTTCGTCGTACCCGTGACGGGTGTTGGGTACGCATGCGTGGTTCATCATGGCGGCAATGGGGTATAGACCGCGCAGACTGGGAGTCAGTCCATTGAGAGGCCTCTCTTCCTCTGTCGATACGACTGGCTTCTTGCTTATCATTTCCTTCGGAATTTGTGCTGTTTCAAAAGCAGTCGCATCCATGACGTAACAGGCAAGACGCATGAAGTCCTCCTCCTGGGCAGAGGGTCCTGTCTCAGTGTTGCGTTTCAGAAGGTCCACCTGAAACAGAGAAAGGAGGGTGATTCTCTTGTGGGTTACTTGAAGACGCTGTCCGTGACTAGACTGTAGAGCGTCGCGTGGTAGGATGAATGGTGAGTGATAGGGAAGGAGCTGGTAGTGGCCTAAACGGGTGTTTGCCAGGAGGGATTGAGAAAAACCACGAAGAATCTCAGGGAGAATAACGGATGTCCCGCAGGAGATGGGAACCCAGCAATTCCTCGGTACAAACTACGCCGTTATTTCTAAACCAGTCTCTTCGGTAACTTCGTGTAGTCTGGTAGAATTTTACCGAAATTCTGCCAAAATATACTCTGTCCATCTTCAGGGCAGAAGAGAAAGCAGGAAGCAAAATAATTTTACTCTGCTTGCTTGCATGGAACATGGATAATGTACCGGACTATACTCGTATGTCATTTCCCTGAGGAGAGAACTCTTCTCTGTGACATTTGAGATGATATTAGTGTACCTTAAGGGGGTAGTGCGTGAGTGTGTGAACTGGATTAATCTGGCTCAGGACTAGTGGCGGGCTCTTGTGGACACGGTAATGAACGTTCGGATTCCACGTAACACGGGGAAATTCGTAAGTAGCTAAGCGACTGTTAGCTTTTCAAGAAGCACTTTATTCTATAATCTTAGTGTACTGGTCGTATGTACGATGTTACCAACTTTGGCACTAACTTCGCCGACAAGCGGCGGTCGCTTGGTCGCTATAGTTGGCTTGTGGACTAAAACCACGGAGTTTGTTTTATGAACGATGTTACAGTCTTTTGCAGTAGAGAGTCTATTGTATTGTGTACCGCAAAATGGGCGAATTCAAAATCCTTGCACGAATTAACGCCCGTGGCGTGGCCCAGCAGCAAAGAAGAGTTAGAATTAACTTTATTCAGTTTGTATCTGGTGTTTTGTTAGGATAATAAACCGTTAAGTATCTTCTTGTGCCCGCAACTCCAAATGTTGCAGTAAAAAAATCTTATGCGTCATGAAGTAGCGAACAAGCCTTTCGCTTTTAGGTCTGTTTCTTGGCACCGAACCAAATGTAAACGTTTGCTGCTTCGCGTGTGTATCAGCTTGAGCACTCTACAGGGGTGTGTCCGCGGATCGAACTTCTGGGTAACCCCGTTGGGCGAGAAACCCACTGGAACATATGGCGGGGTCTAGACTCGTATTCGGGAGGTTCTCGGTTCCTGTCCCGGCTGAGACACGTGCTATCCTGCCTGTGGCTTCTCGTTGTTTCCAACAGTTCCTCCAGGCAGATGCTGGGATGGTTACTGGAGTAGGCCACGACCGCTTCCTTCCAAATCCTTTCCAATTTAGCCATCGTCCTACCGTTCGACGCCATATAGTCTAGAAACTTGCGGGAAGGAAGTAAATTGCATTGGAAGGGGAAACATGAAGTCCTCGCTGGTCGGTAGAAAGACAAAGTTGTCCCTCTGCTTAACAAAGCAACGTGGTATGAGGCGCCTGAGGGAATGAAGGTGTAGCTGCATGCGATAGATGGATGTGTTGTCAGCTACATGCTCCGGCCGCTTTACTCCATTGGAGAGGGACCGAGCACCCACTGGATGGGGCTGAGGCCCCCACTCACTACTCTGCCGAATTCTTGCTTGAATTACTCTTCTATCCTGAAAACGGAAGCAGTACGTTTCTCTGAAACATCAACAGACTTGTACCAGACTATACGGTGTCACACGCCATAAGATAGTGCTCATCACAGGTAGGGTTTCTTAGGGCTTATGACATCTGAAGTTTTCTAGACGGTGAAAACGCCTTGTAATCTTTTATATTGCAACCGACGTTTCGGTGGAATAATCTACCCCCATCTTCAGTGTTGAAGGCTTGTACGGCGTGTAGTCTGGTAGGTGGTTACCAGTGCTTCGGAGTAAAATACTGCCTGCATCTTCAGGATACAAGACTTGTAATCTGTCATATTGTTAACACCGTTTCGAAGAGCACACTGCCTGCATTTTTAGAGTACAAGTGTTGTACACCATGTAGGCGGTAAGTAGTTGCCAAATTTTCGGAGAAACATGCTTTATCCTTCTTCAAGATCAAAGACTTAAGGACCGCATTGTCAAGGAGTCCGTTACTGACGTTTCAGATGAACATATTGCATAGAGTTTCAGATTTGAATATTTCAAAACAGCCGAAACGTTGGTACCTACCTACCAGACTACACGGTGTCATAATCCAGAGCACCTCAATAGACTCTTGCTCCACAGTAACGCAACAGACGCCTGGGTGCACCTCACGCGGGGCTAATACAGCGCTGCAACACTGCCACGACAGTCTCCTTCCATATTCCTTCCAATTCAATATTCACTTGTCATCATACCACTCGGCGCCACTTAATCTAAGCTGTTCCCAGCGTCGTTAAATAAGACATAAATAAAATAAAACAGGACGTTCCTTGGTGCAGAATGTGGCAGGCGAAATGGGCACCCCTGAGATGGAACGCTGTTTGTTGACCAGTCTGTAGTATGAATCACGCCCCTCCCCACAGATTATCTTGTCAATCAGGGTGCTTGTGTATACTGACAGGTGCAAGAAACATGAGGCGGGTGTGACTGTGACTGACTTGCCTAGCCTGGATTTCTCTACTTTCGTATGTCCGATTTATGGCGACTGCGAGTCTCGAAAATTTCAATTGTTTTGGGTGAAAATCCTCTAACAGTTTAAACATTTCATACTCTTTAAATTTTTAAAAATATCATAAATTCGAAGTATTTCGAAAAATGTAAGAATTGGAAATTAAAAAATAAAAGTAAAGTAAAATAAAGTAAAGCTATCCCTGTACCAGGCCGTGAAGGCCCATAGGGTTCTGAGACGTTGAGGCTCCAACATTTTCAAGACAATCGGCTCAAAGATGGCGGTAAGGTTGTCAGCCTTACGCGCCGGCCGCACTCTACTCCCCAGGAAAATTATTTAATTAGCGTAGTTGGTTGAGGTACTATGCTAAAGCCGGAAGGTCGCGGGTTCAAGTCCCGATGAGGTCAATGGATTTTTTCAATTGACCTAATTCTTCCAGCCGCACTATGGCCCTGGGGTTGACTCAGCCTCTAACAGAACTGAGTACCTGGAAATTAAAAAATAAGCAATTAAATTTTTTTAATTTAAAAAATATCAGACGTTTCGAATATTTGTAAATTTGAAAATTTACCTCTGAGTACAGGAGACGTTAGTACATTAAAGAAGCATTTAAATATTTCAATGTGGCTTGTAACAGGCGGTGTGAAGTTTATAACATCACTGGATCACATAATTCGTGAAGGAATATATCCATAATTCTACAGACAGGCCACGGCACACTCCAGTTGAATGCCAAATTCGCAATTCCCCTAAACCTTTGAACCCTGAAAATAATCCAAGTAAGTGAAAGGTGTCAAGTCGCATGGGCAGTAGGGGTATAGCTCTAAGTATTCTTAATCTCGGGACTAGATATAATGAATGGAGAGTTTCAAGCGCCGGTGGCATTACCCCGTGTAAAGAGCCCTCGGTACCCACTGGATGAAATTAATCTAAATACAATTTCGTACCTCACAGGAAACACGTTACGTCCCGCTACAGAGCCCAACCGGTTAATGCTGTTCAGGGAAACAGTCGCTGTTTACTGTGAGAACCATACGGAACACACAGATACACTGTGTGGGCAGAATGCAGAATTCGTGCTGTAAATGGTTAAGAAACAAGCCTCCCTCATAAACCACAACCAAGCTAAGTTACATAACCACCTGGTTCCGGCAGGGCCACGGCCGGTGTTACAGCGCAGGCACCTGAGGGAGGCATGAATTTAAGAAGGGCACATTTTACATCCCCCCCACCCTTTAACATTCTCGTCACATTGTCTTGGAATTTTGTGTTCTTAATTTTTAAGTTTTAGAGAAAGTTCAGCCTTTTGAACTGAGCCGGGGAAGGGGGCCGGATCATCTCGTCTCCAGAGGCGGCACTGAGGTCCGAGCGAAAGCAATGAGCACTTGCGGTGGTACCTCGAACGCATGTTGGGAGCCGCTGTTACGTTGCAGGCACTGGAGCACTTGCCGCTTGATGGGGCTGAGGGCGAGGCACCTCACCGGGACTGAGGCTCTCAGGAGCTCAGGCGACCACGAGCCGTTCGTCCGCACACCCCAGCTCCTCAGCTTCTGGCATTCGAAGAGATGATTATCAGCTTCTTCACACTGGGTCGAGCACACGGGTAGACCGCATCCCTTGGAGCAAGGCTTCAGCGTCTCGGGTCCCTGATGGCAGCCAACACATAATGGCGGGCAGTGGACGCCCGCCCGTGGACCTAACACCAGTGGGACATCTTGAAACACTACCTCGCCTGCCAGTATTTCTCGACTGGCTACGATACCGCGGCCGCCGAGGGGAGACGGCGCCAGGACCCACGGCCACTGCTGGGCGCCGTCGTTCTGCAGACTCGCTAGCCGGAGATGGTCCCGCAGCAGCTGCGTCGCCTCTTCCACCGTTCCAGCCATCCGCTCACCAAGTGACTGACCACGATACCTGCTACGGCGTCGTTTAAAATATAGGCGCCGACAGTGGGGATTCATCCAATCACGGAGAGGCTCGCGTCATACCGTCGTAAACAACTGCGTACCGCGTAGCACTTTTTTTAAGCTCCCAAGCACAAGGCCGCAACACCTCGCGGTGGCTCTCAGAAGGGCGAGATGTTTGGTCTGGGAAGGAATGACTCATGTTAACACTGGTTTCTTTGTGGTTTATTTAAATGTGCTGTCAGTAGCTCAGATTATAGAGCAGACGTAGTCAAACTGTGGCTCGTGTGAGCCATTCCTGAAGCTTTCGAGGGGGGGGAATTGTCCTCTATTTGGGAAGCCCGTATCCTAGCACCTGGGGCACAAAATCCATGTCTATTGGTGGGTCCAGGAATTGTGAAAATTGCCATATGTGGCTTCGGCTTTAAGTAAACTTGGTCATCCCTGCCTGCTATATAGCGTCGACTGCTGGGACAGCAAAAGAACGATGAATAGAAAATGTTTGTAGTCTGATCGAGATTATTATCCAGACACCTTCGTGGAGAGACTGAGGGAAGCCACGAAGCACCCCAGTCCAGGTACTGTAATTCCAGTCCGAGGCTCTTAACGGTCGAAGCGTAGCCAAGCACAAAACCAGTGACAGGCAAGCAGATTTCCTGAAGATGGAGCCGATACGTTACTCCGAAACATCAGTGTACTACTACCGAACTACGTGACATTACAACGGCTGTGAGAAACTCAAATCCACCATTGACTGTAACGTGGTAGAAATATGTACACAACAGTCGTCGTTGGATGGTTTGGAAGTAGCGTGAGTCGGGCACAACATTCCTCGCAGATTGCTGCTGTAACTGCCGATAGTGGAATGAGGCATCAGCGCTGATAAACGCTCGCACTCGCTAGCGTAGAGTGGATGGAAGGTTTCTCCGCTACTATTCCCTCACATCAGTTTCTGTACATGCACACATTTATAAGAATGCCGTAAAAAGATAACACAAAGCTACTGTGCTTTATAACAGGTGCTCAAAGTGACCCCCTTCTGCTTGTAAACATGCCTCATATCGCATAAATAAATTATGTGACACTTTCTGAAGTTGATCCATGGTAATTGAACCAGTTACGTGTGTTATTTCATTGTTATTTTATACGGGCGAAATTTCAGTAATTTTGTGGCTGTGAAAGCAGATCCTACCGAAAAGCCAGTTTTCTGTGCTAAGCGTCTTAACGATTTTCGAGGACTGATCTGTAGTCTTGCCATAATATCCCCAACTTTTTCTTCAGTCAGCACAATCCTCTTCGATTGCTTCTTTATGTCACACACTGAACCTGTGGCCCGCCACTTTTTCACAAGCTTGGATACACATGACTTTGTGGGAACTGGCACATCGGGATATTACAGTGAGACTTATTGATTACATTTTCTGTATGTTTTCTTTCCTTGGAAAATTTTTGACAATAAACACACGCTGTTCAATAGTGAACTTCATTTCAGTATAAATGTCTACCGCGTATCGAAATCTCTAACACAGACGGACAATTACTGTGACTTAATTGCACTGACAAGATCACGCCACACGACCGTGCGCGTTTATCAGCGCTAATGACTCATTCTGCTATCGGGAGTTACAGCAGCAATCTGTGAAGAATTTGGGGTATGGTCAACGGCTTAGCGAAGTTTCCTGATTCCTTGAACGCAGTGTAGTACAGTAGTAGTATTTAGAAGTGACAGTCCTCCAACGCGGAGTAGGAGAAGAATTGGTAGTGGCGGGGAGAGCTCCAGCATGCTGACAAGTGTGGAGGAGAATGCAGTACAGGCGTTCTCAAAAGGAAATAACTTCTTACCTCATTGTGTTGCATAGTGTTGGCGGTTTAGTCTCGATGATGTTCACACATCCGATGTTAAGTTTTAAGTGCCGAATGACAGACTATTATGCACTATACACTGTTATATACATGAAGAGTTTATTTACATATTACACAGGTCTATTCTAAAGGGGCAAGAGAATATGCAACAGCCAAGGGCTTCAAGGAGTAGCAACACTGTGAGTAAATATCCGAACTTCCCTCACTCTCTTAGCAACTAAGAGACAGAAGAGGCAGCATGCGGTGAAATGAACTGTGTCTCTGTATGGCACAACTACCTATGTGACTGCTACGCGGGTATCATATGAAAAGGAGGACCACTAAATGCACTGATGGGGACTGTGAGAGGAGACCATGAGTACGGTTGAGAAAACGAGAACTGTTTGTGCTAGATGCAGCTTACTCTTCCAAGAAACCAAAAGTTCCAATACTATGACTTATTAAATAAAAACTAATCGCAGTACAGACATAAATCTTCCACTGTCAGACAGCTAAAAGCTTTTAATTATATTTACTTTCATTAGAGGGCTCTACTGTATAGCACTCAGATGGCTCGGCAGCTCTTGCGTTTCAATCTGCTGGCACGTGATATCTGTATTACTCTCTTTCTTACACATCAACATATTATGGCCCTAGACTTGAAAAGATTTGGTGTTCAGTTGATTTTTACTGCAGCCTAAGCAAAATGGATAAACCCAAACGAAGTATAAGATTTCAAAGTCAAATCCTGTACTGTGTATAAGTACAGCAAAAATTAGACATACTAAATTTATTACAGATGCAGAACTGATGGAAACTATAAAGCATTCAGATTCAAATGCCTAAGAGATTGAAGATCCGAATGGATGTGGAGAGACAGGTCAAGAAGTCACTTCTCCAGGAGAGAGAGACAACTCATCAGTTGAGCAAGAAATTGCTCAAGTCATAACCACAGAGGCCAACAAAAACATGAAACACCTATGGGTAGAGATTTAGGATGGACGCAAGATATTTATCCTGCAAATAAACCTAAATTTTCTGAGCACCCAGAACTAAACCTGAATTTAGAAATAATGGAGAAGAGATCCTTATTTACAATTTTCAATCATTTTCTTACAGTCAGATATTTGGAGAAATGAAATCATAAATGAACTGATGTGGACACTTGAAAATAATGACATATTTGTGAAAGATCCACATTTTCTTGAACTTGGCACTAGTTGGAGGTGAGTTGTTGAGTCTATACTTTGTCTGTTCAGACAAAACTTCAATTTCTTCAACTTCTATTATTACATTGAAAAAAGTACAACTTCTGAGTCTTCTATTGTTGAATAAATATATTCTTTTTATAGTTTTTAAATAAAGGCTCTTCAGTGATATGTTTTTACTTATTTTCATCAGCACTAATATAATTACCTTTTCCATTTATTTGTGCTCTAAGTGTTTTGTCTTTTATGGCTACTTTATGATTCACTAATCTGGACTATCGCTTAATCTGGATGACCTCTACCCCTCAATTATGCTGGATTAGTGAGGGTTTACTGTATAAACTAAACATGTATACATAGGCTATTTCAAAACTCTGAATACAGATAAACAGATTAATTCTTAACAATCCAGTTTTTATTTGGAGCTCATAACTTTAAAAATGTAATTAACATAATATATTTCCTGAAACACTGCATTTCAGATATCGGAGGGCATTTGAAAACTCAAGCCAGCAGTTAGTACACTGGGGGCTTAAACATTTAACACTGTAATTACTGACACAGGATCACTGAATTTCAAAAGTGAATGAGGAAAATCCAATGAGAATTTCACTGTAATTCGTTGCCTGAAGTGATGTAAAGCAACTGTTACCCGAGACAAGGACATCAGCAAGACTTAAAGGGAAGAGTTTCTTTCACAGACTGTGTTAAAGGGGTATTCTTTGTCGCAAAGGTGACAAGAGTATACAGTGTGGCCATTTTAAGTAAGAACATGTGAAAATACATTTTTCTCACGCATGGTATGAAAAGGCTGGACCATGAAAATTTGCAGTAACAAGTCGCATTGTCCAGATTAGTTGCTTCTTTATTACAAAAGGAAAGGATACACATTTGTGAAAACACTGCTTGCAAAATGGTACAATGAGTTCATGATGACTGTGTGTGGATTACAGCTGTGGTCCTTCTTACCACCCCAAAGAGCAGTCCTAATTAATGGATGAGCACAGCAAAAAGTCAGTAAAACAGAATGCACTCCACAGCTAGAACGCTACTGAAACTGAGATCATGAATTACATGGGATCACTCAAGCACTCTCTCACCTGCAGCACCGCCCTGCTGTAATCTCACTTCTAACATTCATAACACTTATATTGCAAACAACTGAGTTACAACAAACTTGTTTCTCATTCTACAAATTCTTCAAATACCTGCAAGCACCAACATAAACAGAATCACTTTATACAGGGTGTCCCAGGAGGAATGTGCCAAACTTCGGGAGGGTGTTCCTTATGTTAAAGTATGCCGATATAACCCAAAACACCTATGTCCAAAGTTGAACGGTTACGGAGATAATGGCCCGAGAAGTGTCAAACTTTGACCGGGGTTACACACTTGTTGATTACAAAATACATATTAAAACTGGCAGGAATATGTGGATTCTGTAATGTTAATAATGTACGTAACATCAAACCAACTTGTGAGTGACGGAAAGCCATAAAATTGAAGTACAAAATACTCGCTCGCCATGTCATAATTGTCCTTAGGTTTCCAAGCAGTATACATAACACATGACTGGCGAGCGATGACGTAACGTGCTGACTGCGCGTTCTGGTATGAGCCAACTACATAAGCACGGCTAGGGAGTATCATCGCACTCAAGGACAAACATAGATAAGGGCTCTCAGCTGAGAGGTACAGCGAGGTACAGTGCTTGGACCTGCCAGAAGACCACACTTTTCTTGGGCCATTATCTCCGTAACCGTTCAACTTTGGACATAGGTGTTTTGGGTTATATCGGCATACTTTAACATAAGGAACACCCTCCCGAAGTTTGGCACATTCCTCCTGGGACACCCTGTATATTTAGTAACATACACACCCTGAACCTCTCATGCATACATTTTTTGATAAATTGGACCACTTTATTTTTACACCAAGGGAGTCAACCATCTGTTCTGCTGCAGGGCTCAGGGTTGTGAAATCCCTTTCTTGAACACAGAAAAGGAAAAAGGTGGCCGTGGTTTTTGAAGTTGTAGGCAGTTCAACTTTGGCATGTCTGCATACATTGTATCTGAAAGTGAAGAGTTGTAAAACAACAATTATGAAATTTCATTTATCGGATTTCCATTGTACATGGAGTTGGTGATGCAATGGACAGATAGCTATAGATATAACACTATAGTGTTAACACCTACCTGTTTTATTGACATTCATTTTACGACACAAAATGTGAAAGGGTAGTTGACGTATCTCCACAGTCTTCAGTAAAGCTTGTAACACTTGTTTACCAATTGGGTCTTCAGGATTCCACTGTAAGTGGAAGAAAAAAAAAGTTAAAAATGAAACAATTTATTATTTGTCTGCTAAATATGAACACTGTCATGTGACTCAGATACATAACTGGTTTTACCAGACACCAAATACTGTTATTTATGATACAGATCATTACACAGTATACAAGTATGTACTATCATTGTGTGGGAGTAACTGTGTTTTCTTAGGTCACATGTGACACATAGTAATGATGCCATCCTCTATCAGGTTGGCCGAACTATGGTTGTGTCTTTGGTGGGGACGCATCATGGACCAGGGATGTGTCGGGACACCTCATGGTCCCACTGGGCAACAACAGTCTTGGGGTCTTGATTAGTATGACGAACCGGGACTAGCAGCTAAGTTTCCATAAAGGGTAATGGCATTATGACCGGAGCCTCCCACGCAGCGGCATAATGACTCTTGGGTGTCACTATGGTGTACCCGGGACGAATGCGGGAGAGCACTTGTCCCAGGTAGCTTTGGCTACTTGAGCTTCAGCCTTCAGGCTCAACACTCTAAAACGGTCTGACCAACCCATGTGGGGAGCCTTTATGCCACCCCCAGGGTGACTGTTTCATGCAGGTTTCCCTGGTTGCAACCTCATGATTAACTGGTGTCGCACTCCCATTGATCATCTGGGATAACCCCTTCCCCCGATCAAGGACTCTGGGTCCTGGAGGCTTGTGAGGGTCTATCCTTAACAGGACCGAACCACCTGAGCCAAGGTGTGAGGCATTGTGCTGAAGGCTGCGTGGCACTGGGGTGGTAATTAGGCAGTGTCGTGAACGATCCCCTCAGGGCACCAGGCAGCATCCCCTTGTATTTATGCCTTCTAACTGTATGGGGTGCTGTGGGTGGTGACCTTCTATATCCCCATGACTCATTGGATCAAAAGGAAAGGTACCAAAAGAAAAACTGGTCGTAAGGACCTTAAAGAGAAGAGGGACTTCCCTCTTCAAGTATGCTGTATTGTAGGTTGGCATGGTAAATTTTTTTTGTTATACTTCTTGTGAGCCTGCCACAGCAACTTCTTTGTCTTAGACCTCATGGCTACTGAGTTTGAGATCAGTGTTGTGTGTGTTACTATCACTGTAACTTTTTGAGAGATACAGCCGCGCCATAGCTCAAGCAGTTAGTCGCTGGCTTCCTACTGCGGCGGCCTGGGTTTGATCCCGGGTCTGGTCAAGTGGGATTTGTGGTGGACAAAGTGGCACTGAGGCAGGTTTTCTCCGAGTACTTCGGTTTTCACTGCAAATCTTCATTCCAACAATTGCTCCACAATCACCCTCACCTATCATCTGGGGCTGGTACAATAGGCCAGACGTGGCCACAGTACAAGGGACTTAATCCCACCGCAGTAACAAAAACAGAATATTTTTGAGAGAGACGCATTTTGTGTTTCTCTACATTTGGCCGTTGTGCACAACACTTTGCAAGTGCCCTATGAATGACTGTATTTTTGTTGTACTACACCATTTTGCTCTGTGATTCTGCGTAACTGCTATGGATACACTTCCCACATTTCTGGTTTCTGCATTACTTTGTTAATGTTTTTGTTCTATTCCTGTCAGTAATTTTTTGGTATCGTTTTATGTTCAAGTTTTATTATATTTGTGTTAAATTGACTTGTGCTTCCTATTTTATGTTCTGATCCTACCCATTATTGTCAGTCTGTCTTGACCTGTGCCCTATAGCCTATTTATTCTGATCCTGCTGTGCGTGCCAGTGCTAAGTCTGAATACCTCCATTATTATAATCGTGCTTGTTAGTCTTGGCTTTCCCTGTCCACCTCGAGAAATGTGTACAATGTAATGTCATTATGTTCTACTCTGCATCGCTCCTCCTTTCCGCTCTTTCCTCTTCCTTGTGTACCCTATATTCTTCCCCCTATTGCACCCTTCCCTTCCTTCCTTGACCTGGCCTCTTGCATCTGATGTACCAGGCACTTTTCCCCAGCAACTGGACACACATTTATTCTGGCACCTAAATTTAATGTTGCTTGTTTGGGTTCTGAAGAGTGTTTTGGCAAGTAAGCCGCCGAGCCCCATTCCATATAATTATTATTATCACTGTACTTCCTCTCTTCACACTGACATACATCTCAGTCAACAGTGTCCAATGTAAATGGTGGGGCTTCAGTAGTCAAAATCATTAAATCTCTTGTGGATCACAATGGATGTACAAAGCCTAAAAGACAAGTTATATTACTCTCTCTTGGAATATTGAAAAAATGCAGGACCTGCAAAATCTGAGCCTTACTTACTTGACTTTGAGGCAATTCAATTTTAGAACCATCGTGACTAATTACTTTGGTAAGCACATCCCAGTATGGTTTGGAGAGCCCTAGCAGCTGACACACTTGATCATCTTTCATGAAAATTAGAATTTTTCCAAATGAATCTTCTATGCAGCACCTATAAGGAACCATTTCCAGGGCATTACTCACTCATCAAATAGAACTAATTTTAAAACAGAAAAGGGCCCAATAACAGTATTTTCATATAATCCTTCAATTAGAGATGTGATCCATGACTAGACTAAACCCACTATCAACTAACATCATCTCCGAGACATGGTCAGCCACTCTGTCCTAATAGCTGTACCACATCTATGAGATGCTTTCAAGGATAAGCTCAGATGTACTGGTATCCGGTCATGTCATCAACAGTTAGCAGCCTAATGCTCTTCTGTGATCTTTCTTTGACCAAACAATGTACTTTTTTATCAAAATACATCGAAAAAGATCTACAAATAAGGCAACACTGCAACAATAGGGACTTGCTGCCATGTAAACATAGCTGCTAGGGCAGGCCATTAAGTCATCAAGGGGTTAAGAAAAACAAAATGATGAAAATTAAAAAATAGATATCACTAAAATTGCCAGCAATGTCTTCTCTGTGGCATTACAATGTAAGGTAGGGATTCCACAAGGGTCAACCTTGGGCCCGTTTTTGTTTTTCATTTACATAAATGACCTACCCCTCCATATATCTAACAGAGAAGTGGTGCTATTTGCAGATGATACCAGTATACTGGTAACAGAAAAGAACAAAATATTCTTCAAGACAAAATGGATAAGGTAATGAAGCAACTCGAATCTTGGTTTTCAATGAATAATATGGTAATAAATAATGAGAAGACTACAGCAATGTATTTCCATATGAATAAACTACAAGATAGCATTGAGCCAGTAATTACCTTTAAAAATATAATAATTAATTATACAGCACAGTTTAGGTTTCTTGGTATTAATTTAACCCACAAATTAAAATGGAACATTCATATTCAGTCGGTCTGTACAAAGCTCAGTAAGGTGTGTTACATTATTAAAGCTTTGAAAGGCAAAGTAAGCCAATAAGTCCTTAGGAATGTGTACTTTGCTAAATTCCAATCTCAGATAAGTTATGGTTTGATATTTTGGGGGACAGAAAGTGAAAGTAAAAAAATTCTGATTTTGCAAAAAAGGGTTCTTCGAATAATGAAAGGTGTAACAAAAAGAACATCATGTAGACCTATATTTAGAGAATTAAAAATTTTAACGGTAACATCTTTGTATATTTTAGAGGTGTTACGTTATTTCAAGAAATATAACATTTACACCACAAAAAACTCTAACCTACATAAATATGACACGAGAAAGAAAGAAGACCTTCACATGCAAAGTTATAATACCTTAACATATGAGAGGGGTGTTACAAATATGGCTATTAAGCTTTATAACAGACTACCTTTGGAACTAAGAATGGTAAAAGCAGATAGAGAATTCCTACATAGACTCAGAAGATATTTACTGGAACAACCATTGTATAATTTGCATGAGTTCCTCTCAGAAGGACAGTTAAACGAATAAGATTCTCCATGATAAATAGATTTAAGTGTAAATAAAATGACTAGTAATTAGATGAAGTTTTTAATATGATTCAGCCTATAAAGGGAATGGAAGTCTTAAAAGAGATTGCACCCCAAATTATTTAATCGTTATCTAAATTGAATTTGATCTTTTGTGGACTATTTTGATATAATAGGTTTTAAGTTTAAGAATATGACGGTGGTAATTAAGATATATATAGTAAGATGACCTTGTTTTTTATAATGGAAGGTAGTCATAAATTTGATTGTACCTAATATATTTTAATTGTAATTGAATGTTATGTTATGTAATATATGATGACGTTCAATCAATTAGGCAGGAGGCCAATTAGACTGGAAAACTTGTATATGTATGTGACTTGTTCGAGAGTTACAATTTGTAACTGTGATGAATGTTAAATAAAATTATTATTATTATTATTATTATTATTAAGATGTGCAGTACACAATTGTATCTAATTTTATTATTTATCTGGTTTGATAATGTGTGTTATATTTTAATTATAGGTTAACCACATCAAGAGTGATTATTTATTTATTTATTTATTGACAAATTCTAATCATTTTGGCAAAAGGATTTCAAGAATGATGGATTTAATGATGTGACTTGTTCAAGTGTTACTGTTGTAGCAATTACGAATGCCAAATAAAATGAATGAATGAAGGTCTAGCTTGTATTTTCTAATATCTTCATTAAGAAATTTACTGATTTTCCTGAAATATTCCTGGAAGAAAAGATGGCATCCATGCATAAAGATTCTGAAATCAGCATAGTTATACTGGCATAGGTTATTCAGTGATTGAGGTTAGCTCTTTCTAAGGGACCCAACAGAGTAGGTGTCTCCCAACTCATCTGAGGACAGAAAGAGATCCAGTTTCCAAAATGGCGTGTTTTCTATTTTTTAGAATACTGGATGATGGACAAAATCTAAAAACCCAGTACTTCTTAGTGTTACACATTATCCTCAGAACCCTTCAAAATGTAAGTGCTTATCGTTGGCAACCTGATATCACTTACAGAGCATTGCAAACACAACTGAAGGATCCAGAGAGATAGAAGTGGCACTGCCACCTGTTAGGGGGTAGACAGCAGAAGCAGATGGTGAAGCTAGTTACTTTTCAGCACTGTGCCTTGGAACATCTGACCATAGTAACACAGCAGTAACACTGTGCCTTTGAATATATGACCACAGAAATTCAGCAGTAACACTATGGGTTAGTACATCCAACCACAGTAACACAACACCTAAGAACATGTATCTACGTTACTTACGCTGCAGTAACACTAAGTTTCGGAGACGCTGGGTACAAATTGCAGCCAACGCAGCAGCCACTTCTGAAGAAGCTACCACACTTAGAACAAGACGTAGTTGCCATCAGAGTCAGTATTTTTATGGTGCTGAAGGTGCCCCACAGAATGCTGCCTGCAGCTGCATATTCAGCATCCTTTCCCAGTATGCAAATATCACCCCAACTAGCCAGTGGTCTGCTGCAGGTGTTGCTGCTATCAAACACAAGTGCACACCCTTAAATAGTACACTTGATTTCTGAATGAGTTTCCTTTGGATTTGTACACATCTACATCTGCCTGGCTCTAATGTCCACCACATATTTTAATATAAGAGAAAGAAAGTTAAAGGCTGTAAGATTTGAGGTTTTCAGGGCAGTGACTATGAAGAAAGCAGTCTTCTGGGATGTGGCACCATGTAGATATGGTGTTAACCGACGTTTCGGAGGAACGTATCGCCTCCATCTTCAGGGTAGAAGGAAAAATAAGAAAATCTGCAAGCGAAGAGACCATGAGAACTGGTACAAGCAGATTTTCTTATTTCTCCTTCTACCCTGAAGATGGAGACTATACGTTCCTCCGAAACGTCGGTTAACACATTTCAGAAGACTGCTTTCTTCAAGTTAAAGGCTGCAGTCTTTTTATTTTATGACACAAAGTACATGTGCCACTTCTGCTCCAAGGATGGTGGCAACAAGCTGCCCAAGATGATACCTATAAAGCAACATGGTATCACATCTCAGACCACTGCAGTGTTCAACACCCACTGCTGTGCCAACATCAAATCTCATTATATAGCATATATATCAGCAATGTGGTGGATGTCAAAAAGTCATATTCATATATTTTATTGTTAATTGCCTGACAATATTTTGTGGAAATCTGTTTCAAGAAAATCAGTGAAACTGTTAATGGACTACTTGGAAAAGTCCACCTATAGCCCTGTGCAAATTAGACTTTATTATGGATCAAACTAGCTACAAACTTGAATTTCCTGATATCTTTTTGTGGAAGTTCCAACAGTTCAGATCCTGATACAACATCAAAGATGCACTTTTTACTTTGTAAGCTGCCTATACTCAATACGTGATACACAGGACATGCCACCTACACAACTACTGTATTTAACACGATGCTCTGATACAATAGTTCATACTTACACAGTGTTTATATCCACTGTGTGAGGTATATGCAACACTTCTATCGTGGTAAATTCTGTTGTCTGGAAGTAAGTAAAGGAACTGCTGCGAGACTCGTGTTTGCTTACAAACATAGCACAAACCTGAGCCCCTGGGACGAGGCCATACGGATAGGCACGGCAACCCCACTTGGTGAAGTAAAGCGACACTCCATTACAGCCAGGTGCAGCTCTGAGTTTCAGAACTATATTCTTCATACCTGGAATGTTGGAAACTGATGATAAAGTGATGTCACCTCTGTACAGAGGTCATGTTTAGTCATAATTACAACCACAGCCAATCACCCACATACATTTTTAAAAAAATGTCAACTTCTGATGTTGTATTTTAGCGTCCTGTTGCACTGATTTTCCATCCATGATACGTATGTAATGGCCGTCTTGTAGTGCACTCAATTTCATATGTCACTTCTTACTACATGTTTCGGCAACACAGTGCCATCTTCAGGTTCGTTATTTATGCTAAGCTATTACATTGTTTGCCATCTTGTGTCTTTCATAAAATTATTTAGAAAGTACATTATTCGTCAATTATAATAAAGTTTGTATATACTAAAACTTGTTAAGATTATTCATCTATATGTCTAAATTCAAACTCATGTATTGTATGGTTCGTCCACTATGGGAGTCATTTCAGTGTGTACTGTGTCTGTGATGTGTCCTTCCTTTTTGGCTGCGAGCGTTGTAAGATGGCACTATGTTGCCGAAACATGTAGTAAAAGGGACATATGAAATTTAGTGCACTACAAGACGGCCATTACATACGTATCATGGATGTCAAATTCTGATATTTGGGAATAGTAAAAAAATGAAAACTATATGTGTGTGAACAAAACAGGAGGAGATTAAATAAAATGTTGGTTGACTTTCAATGGACTATACAGTTATATCCCAGAAGATACAGTTCTCCATAATCACTTCTGTAAAACTCTGCACTAAAATCATAGGAGTGCAACACAGAGACAGGAGTTTAAATTCACAGGCCCTAATTACTACTACATACGTAAACCACAAGAATGAGTACTACTGTGATAAACAGATGTGGCCAGTACCTGTATGGGATGATGTGCTACATATTCTGCACACAGAGGAGGTACATGAATACAGAAGGGTACGGATGGCACACGAACGGAATGGAACACAGTATCATGGAACAGAGAACTCGATAGCACACTATGCATCCCTTAGTACATGGACCAACCTATCTTGAAATGAACTTACCTGGAATACCATAGCCCGGTAGGCTTGGCGTTTTCTCACTCTCATATTTCACATCTACATGCAGACGGTCATAAATCACTCCTTCAACATTTACCAGTTCCTTCTGCTCCACCTCCTCACTCAGATTCTTGTCACTGACACTAAAAATAACATAGAAATCGGTGTCAAAATAGCACAACATATCTGGAAGTGTAACACTTCAACTTCAGTGTCATCACTGTGCAAATACATTCACTTCCTGCACCAAATCTACGTATCAAAATTCCAAGGGGAATTGCAATTACTACAAGTCCATTCTGGGTGTTTCCTGCATGTGATCATGACATGCTACCAACATCACAGCATATTTACGTCTGTCCCTTACTCAGCATAATCACTACCAAGACTATACGTTTCTATTTGCGGGACACATCAACTGCAGCACTGCGGATGGCTATGACAGCTTTCCTCATGCTGTCTACATATTCAAACAAGTATTGCCAAAATGACCCCATTCACAAACAAGGGTGCTTGAGTACATATCTACTGTGGCCCCCTTCCAAGTCAACCCTGTTGTCATCATCATGGAGCAGGGTAACAGCTGATGCAATGGCAAACAGGGAAATGGTCCCTCTAAGCCAAGGTGTGAGGCAATGTGCCTACGGCTGCATGACATTTGGGTGAAAAATAGCCCATGTTGTTAATGATCCCTTCGGGGAACCAGACAGCACTCCATTCTGTTTATGCCTTCCACCCAAATGGGGTGCTGTGGGTGGCGATTTGTAGGTCCCCGTTACTCGTCCAGCTAGTGCTGAGGTCCCTATACATCCATTCCCCAATATGCCTTCATGTAGTGCTTAATTACCTTGTAGTTAAGCACAGGGACAACTTTAACTATGCAGCTGGTACTGCAAACGTAGTCAATGAGAAATCCCCTCAGACTGCATCAGAGGTTTTACAAACGGCTCTGAGGGTCATACAGAAGTGGTTATGAAGAGTTATATCTTCTGCTACTACATGCTGTTATAACCCAGAAGACACACCTCTTCAATACAGTTAGTTGTTCCTATGTTATGATGAGTTCTGTATCACACTGCCAACATGGTTCACTGAACCATGAAATGATCACAGCAAAACAGCACCAGCTGTGTACACTACGGGAAACACTTTTGATATGCTATTGATGATACAGAGAAAATATGAATATTAAGGAAAAATTCCAGTAAGAATTTGTACATAATACAGATGGTAACTGACCACCCATTCAAAACTCACTTGTAAGAATTAAATTTAAGGTAAAAAAAATTTGGTCGCTGTGTGCCAATTAATAAAAATCTGCTCTCTTCTGGCAAGCACACACCCCACACATCTGGCAATACTCTCAATTTCTGCTTCAACCTGCACCTGTAAGGAAGTGAACAGACTGTCAACATCAGTACATTTACAGTGTCAACCTGAATGGTAGAGCAAACGCAGCGAGGATTACCCTTCACATTTTTGTGCTCTTCTCTTTTTAGTAATTTGCGTTAACAAAAGAATACTGACAAGTGGAAGATTTATTTACAAGACATATCTTTTCTGTCAGCTTACAGCAACAAATATTAATACAAACTCCGTCTTCAGTGCAAACCACATATTATAGGTCTTTTGTTTTGCTCTCCTTTACACACATGTTTCGGCCACAAACAGCCATCATCAGGTGTACTACTCACGTATCTGTCACACTGCACTTAGTTTAACATTTAAAATTTAAAAACACAGGTCTTCCTGATTGTTCCTTTTGTCATTATTACACACAGTTGTGAGCGTAAGTAAAGTGAGACTGTAAACAAGTGAAAGTGTACCCAGCAACATGAATTGAACTTCGATTCACGAACTTTTAACTTTTAATAATTAAATTAGAATAATAATTTTAACCTGTGTTTCATAAAAGAACTCGATATATTAGTGAGCGTAAATCTGGATAAGATACAGGGTCGAATGAGTGAAAAGTGAATGTGACCGCGTGTAATTATACAGCTGTGTTCATACACCTGAGGATGACCTCTTGAGGTCGAAACATATAGTGATAATAAAAAACGTGTTGTGTAGTCGGTAAATTCACTCTACTATTAATTAAACACACAACAGGATGCAAGAAACGATTAAAATCTTTAATTCTATTTGAATTTGACTTAATTCTGTACACATCCAAGGTTAATCAACAAATTCCGTATTAGCATTCCAGTTTATGTAATCTCGCCAGTTGTGTGTTCCTCAAGATCACTTCATGATGGCCTATATGTGGTGAAATATGTCAAGAATTGAGCAAACCCACCTCTTGTTTCTATTTAGACACCACAAAGAGGATGCAGTGCTACAAGAACGGAAGTACTTCCTTCAAACACTCCTACCACACCAACAGCTGATTCAAAACTGGTACAATCACGCACATAATAAATGTAACGTATGTTACAAGGCACAGTTCCCATTTCAACATGCAGAACATACTTATAGTTAACACATTAAGGACTGTCAATTTAAATATTTAAATCACCCTGTGGCTGCCATTATTAAACCTACTACTATCCTAACTTGTGCACTGTTTACTTTAAAAATTAATACATTTTTTTGAGAACTGTGGAAACAGCATTGCCTAGAAGGATGCTTCCCCTTGCAATGTTCACTCTTCACAATTTTCACGAGGGTATGTTTCCGGATATCACCTGAGAGTCCACATGAGGCTTGTGTGTGGGGTGGTAGTTGATGGGCCGTCGCACTAAGTCTGTGTCTGACTCTGGTTCTGCTGCCACCATCTGGTCTGTAGCCCAGGCCTTTGCCACATTCATCAGAAATGCTTTGTATTTCAATTTTGAATCAGGGTTTAGATTTTTGTAGATTTTTACTGTCCCCGCAATGTTATTACACGCATTATCGTCAGAGCTACTGTCACTTTTACTGTCTGTGGCCACAATTCTTTGTTCTCCCTTGTCACTGCTGCTCTCTGAATCACCATGACTACGCATCTCACAAAGCAGGTCAGCTGGCTCATCGGAGAAGAATTTGTCCTTGTCCATACCCCACCACTAACTACTGGCTGATACATACAGCTCGAAGAGCAGCAAAGCATTTTCCTTTATAGTGGCTTAAGAAAACAGCGAGGTCAAGTTACTGACATGTAAGCAAACATTCCAGAGGTTTATTACGCATCTGTGTGCAACCTGGGTGGCGCCAGAGCAAGGTATAGTGCGTTACAACCTAACGTGTCCTAAAATCATATCATGCAACCGGTCCGCCACGTTTAAAAGCCAAAAGCATATTATGCGACCAGTCCTCAAACTGTTAACGTGTCAGGATAACATACTCAGTATAGTGACTGGCTATGGGTNTTCCTTCAAACACTCCTACCACACCAACAGCTGATTCAAAACTGGTACAATCACGCACATAATAAATGTAACGTATGTTACAAGGCACAGTTCCCATTTCAACATGCAGAACATACTTATAGTTAACACATTAAGGACTGTCAATTTAAATATTTAAATCACCCTGTGGCTGCCATTATTAAACCTACTACTATCCTAACTTGTGCACTGTTTACTTTAAAAATTAATACATTTTTTTGAGAACTGTGGAAACAGCATTGCCTAGAAGGATGCTTCCCCTTGCAATGTTCACTCTTCACAATTTTCACGAGGGTATGTTTCCGGATATCACCTGAGAGTCCACATGAGGCTTGTGTGTGGGGTGGTAGTTGATGGGCCNATTGGTGCTGAGTAGAATGACAATCATCTGCCACCTTCAGAGAGAAATATTAGTACAGTCAAGACTCTTCTCTAATGTACTGGTACTTCAAATCTTGGTCCTCCTGACTGCTTACCATTTTGACCACATAATGCATTTATGTGTTTTGTATGAGCCCCACAGTAAACAGTGATTAACTCCCTGAATGGCATCAACCAGTTGGGCTTTCTAATGAAGATGCAAAGTTATCTCCTGTGAGATAGGAACCAAATTTTTGCACATAACTTGCATAAAATTTCCCTTTCAGTGATAATATTTATTCATATTTGCCTCTGAATCTAAATTACTTTACAGTAGTACAAGATGCTGCATCTAGTCTCAGAACAATGAAGGCAGGGGTCCCACAAGGGAGCATATTAGGTGTGAGTTTCTTAAATATTTATATCAATGACATGCCGTTCAAATGCAGACTGAATACCAATTCAAAAATCTGTGCTGATGAAATGTAATCTTGCTCAAAGAATTTTCAACCAAAAGAACCATGGAATATATTACAGAAATTTATTCAGTTCCCCAAGTTCTGGTTCAATTAAGTGACAAATCCAAATAAATGCACCCAAATGCCAGAGTATACTAAAAATGCAGGACTTACTGGATACCACCACAGGCCTCTGTCTGAAATACAGCATTTCAACCACAACATCCTTGAGTCACACTGGATGAAAAATACTCAAATCAGATATAATGTGTGTTGGACGAAGCAATATAAGACAGGCCAATTAAATTTCATTATCAATTTAACTTGCACTAGCACTACAAGCCTTTGTCAACACAAACTGCAACCTCTGCTTCTAGAGGTAACAAGGCAAGTAATAACTGACTAACTTCTTGGAGCTGACCCATTCTTCAGAAGTCACCAAATGTGTAGCTACTCAAGAATTTCCAAAAATTTTATAGAACCCAAAGGTTCAGTAACATGCTCATATGAGCCCTCCACTAGTCCATATCCTGAGCCAGTTCAATCCAGTCCATCCCACCCCATCCTATCTCTCAAAGATTCATTCTAATATTGTCCACCCACCTATGCCTTGGTCTTCCCTGTGGTCTCTTTCCTTCTGGCTTTCCCAGCAATGTCCTATATGCATTCCTCTTCTCCCTCATTCATGCTACATTACCTATCCATCGCATTCTTCTTGACTTGATCATTCTAGTTATATTTTGCAAACAGTAGAAGTTATGAAGCTGCTCATTGTGCAGTATTCTCCAACCTCCTGTTACCCCATCTCTCTTCAGTCCTAATATTCTCTTCAGCACCCTGTTTTCACACACCCTCAGTCTATGTTCCTCCCTCAGTGTCAGAGAACAAGTTTCATGCACATACACATATTTATTCCTTTATTCATTTTAGTCCCACGAGTCATGAGGATTTAAAAGGTCACCACTCACAGCGCCCCATATGGGTGGAAGGCATAAATACAATGGGTTGCTGCCTGGTGCCCTGAGGGGATTGTTCAAGACACTGGCTAATTACCACCCCAGTGCCATGCAGCCCTCAGCATGATGCCTCACACCTTGGCTTAGGTGGTTTGGTCCTGTAGTAAATGCAACCCTCACGGGCCTCCAGGACCCAGAGTGCCTCTTCAGGGGGAGAGGGGTATCCCAGATGATTAATGGGAGTGCAACACCAGTTAGTCATGAGGTTGCGACCAGGGCATCCTACACGAGATTATCGCCCCTGGAGGTTGCTTCAGAGCTCACCCACTCCCAGCCCTCCACATGGGTTGGTCAAAGCCATTTCAGAGTGTTGAGCCCTAAGGCTTGCGGCACCTTATCGGTACTCTAGGGAGACAACTCAAATAGCCGAAGCTACCCCCATTGGAGTGCTCTCCCGCATTTGTCCTGGGTACATGGTAGTGATACCCAAGAGTCATTATGCCGCCGCATGGGAGGCTCCAGTCATAATGCCATTGCCCTTTATGGGAACTCAGCCACCAGTCCCGGTTGGTCATACTAATCAAGACCCCAAGCCTGTCGTTGCCCAGTGGGACCTTGAGGAGGTGTCCCAACGCATCCCCACCAAAGACACAGCCGTAGTTCGGCCAACCTCACTGAGGACAGTGTCATTACTACCTGTGATATGCAGACTTTACGAATTCAATTTCTCAGACAGACTACTGCAGTCCATCATCAGAGCTCACAAACTGTGACAAGATGAATCAAATCAGAACCCCATGATGGATACATTTCCGTCCCTGGATGAGAAAACATAAAAATTATTCATAATTTTTACAAGTTTGTAGAGCCTGGTCCTTTCTCCATATCGTGAGTGACTACTTGGTATCCCCAAAGGCTCAAATATAAATTTTGAAAAATTAAACCTTTGTGGAAGTTTTTTCTCATCCAATCCATAATTAATCTATTTTAACTAGTCTACTGCTATAGCTGATATATTATGTTCCTGACACCAATACGGAACCAGCGCATTTGTTAGCTGAACCTCAGGGCACCTCTATATTCTTTAGCTGCCAGACATCAGTATGTATCCAGATAATCATGTGACCAATAAACTCAAGATTTTGTTGGTTCCTCCATCTTAAACAACTGCTGAAATATTTCCTAGTTCCATGGTGCTATGGTGTGCCTCTGATGCATCTCTGATAAAAATTTGTCAAAATTAAACCCCTTGCTCTGAATATTCTGCCATTCAATTAACAGAGAATTAAAATTCCTGTCCTTACCCACAGTGGTCCACAAAACTTACTAACATGAATCAACAAACTTGTTCATGAACTCCCTGGTTATTGAGCACTGCTCAGGTCCTGGATAACTTCCAAGCTTGAAAATGATGAACCAGACCATCAGCTTAATATGTCCCATAGCGCAGCAGTTCTCCCCCCCCCCCATCTCACAGATATGTTGGAGCATTAACGGTAACAGTGGATTGCAGATGAGCAGCTGCAAGAGGATGCAGTCAACATGAAGCCACAATGAGCTGACTGCTGCAACAGGAAAGCTCACTACAATACAGAACAATGTAAATAACAACAGAATATACTCACCTTATGAATTGGTCCCATCAATCTGACAAGCACACAGCACATGGAGGGTGCATTCAAAGAGATTTTTGCTGCTGTAGTCTTATGAAGAACCACAATCACCCAGGCATACTTAGCTGGCACGACTGTTTCTTTAGACAGTAAATCGTATCCCAGAATATTTTCCACACTAAAGTTTCTTAACCTTTGTTTACACTCAGTCCCATTTTCACTAGTGCACATTCCAGAATGACATGCCATGCCAACGTCAGTCTCCTTCTTTAACCTGAAGCAACATAAAGCACAGTTCTCTTAATATGCAATCATTTGATACAATACAAGCTCATGTCATGGAGACCATAAGGGAGATGAATACCTTTGCTAGTCATGTTATTATGAACTCTGTGCTACAAATGGAAAATGAATGCTTCAACATACTTCTTACAATTGGTTTGTTTCTAGTGCCTTCAAGCAGGGTGTGTTTGGAGTCTCTTGGTCTCTACCCACTTAAGCAGGGGCACAGAATCCACTTGTGGTGCAGGGGCATCCACGGAGGGGATTCCCATTCCCGTGGCAATAGGAGCATAATAAAAATACTGGTCTGCAAAAGGGGACCTGCTGAAGAAAATCTGCATACAGATCAGACTGAGAAAAATCCTGAACTCTCCCAATGAGACCAACTGCACCCCATGCTTCTTACAAAAACAGTAATATGCTAATGTTATTTACAAAGTCTGCAGCAGTCAGAAAGGTTTTTTACTAGGCAGAGAACACACTGACATTTCAACTCATCTTAACTTAAATTTTTATTTGAGATGATGTTAGAGAAGTTGCTGGGAAAATGCTGTGGTTTTTCTAACTAGTGTGGCTATGGTTTCTGCTGTACTCTGCCTTCAAAGCAGCCCAACTGTCCTACCATACACCCTGTAACCACTGCTATCATGCTCCAAAGAACTTTTATGGGAAGTGGCATCAGGTCACAAGCATTGCTATGGGCAGTGCCTCTCTAGGCCATAAGGTATACTGCAAACCTACCCATTACAACCTCCAACTAAATTCTATTTTTCATTACCACCAAGCTAACAAGCATGCCATAATTTCCACAACGGTACACAGGGCTAGAGCTCTGTGATCAGGACAGCCTTCCTGTGGAAATTGTGTTCCTGGGGGATATTTTCAGGTGGAACAGCTAGTGACTTGAGGATTTTTTGGGCTCTCAGTCCTCCGCCAAAAGTTTCCCAGTCCAACAGTAAGCCAGACTCGGTTCCTTTCCTGCTGTATGTTGGGTCAGTGGTCAGTCAAGGATAACCCAGGACTGAAGATACCAGGAGTATATAGCATCCCCTGTGAATGTGGTCAGGTATATATTGCACAGACAGGGCATTTGACTGACACCAGGTTGAAGGGTCACCACCAACATACCTGTCTGGAACATCTGGACAAGTGAAACATGTCAGCCATAGTACCAACTTGGGGCATCGCATCCAGGTACACAACACCAGAATTCTCGCCACCAAACCCAGATACATGATTTGCATCGGGGAGGTGACCAAGGTTGAGCTGCATCCAAAAAATATGAACAGTGAGGATGGCATCTGTCCAAGTAAGTCATGGGCACCTCCCATCTGCTCCCCAGAGGATCTCAGGAAGCCTCTCAACCAGATTTCTACAGCTGCTTTCTCTGTGGGGTCACATACATACTATTTTTTCTTTCCAATGACACTGTCACATATTGAACAGGTTCAGAGCAGAACAGTGTAATGTAGCAATGCTTGGGCAACAACATTATGCCTTGCAGGTGATGCTGCCTAACACTGTATTGGAAACAAAGCTTTACATTTAGTATTGGAAAGGTTAAAATCCTTTTACTGCTACACACTGAAATGCTTGTACTGCAAATTGTTAGTAAAACATAGACTTCTCCGTTGGCCCACTCAAAGGTGGTCTCATGCCAGCAGATGAACTACCACTAATTTCTGCCTATGGAAGATGATAAACTATGAAAAATGTATAAAAACACCAATGGGAATTGGCTTAGCATGTAAAAATGTAGGAACTAAGAGGTTAAGAAAATCAAAATCAATAAACAGCAGTCATATACATTCATGTAAATGTGAAAAAATATGTTACATATTCTTGCAAATGTTATTCAAAGAAAATTTCACTTTAACCAATTTGTATCCATAAGTGCATATATGTGATGTAGAACTGGCCTGTTTGACCAGCTTGAAGAGTATGTACACTCATCTTAGTGTTTCATTCATGTACAGATGTTTCGTTTGCTCCATCAGAGACTTCTCTGACATTTGGTATGTATTTAAGTTTGGATTTTTGCTTCATTTTAGTAAAATACTGCTGGAGATAAAAGCACTGACTAGGAAAATGTTTGAAGAAGAAAACCGGTAACCACTCTCTAACACTGCCTCACATATACATACTGACCTGTAAGCAATCTCACGCCTCAAACCGCCAGTGTGTATGACATGAGCATCCTTCACTGCAAAGTGAATGTACACAAAGGTGAGGTCCTGAAAGAAGTAACAGAGAAACAGTCATCAAATAAAAATAAGGCGAATAAGTGATGCTAAGTTTTGAAACATCTTTGTGTAAACTGCATAGAGAGCATAATGAAAAAGTTACGTCTGTCCTCACATTTCATCTCAAAAACTACTGAACAATTTGAGTTAAATAAACTGAGTGGTTTCCATTGCTCCACACTAAGCACTACCCAAACTGATTACATGGATCACCTCCACCATGGCTCACTGCACAAAAATTAGTACACAGCAGAAAACTGACATCTTAGTAAGATCTACCAAATTAAAGTTACAGATCTTTTTTTCAATATAGCTTATATCAACAAAATAAATGCAAATAGTAATTGGGGCTTTACACAGTGAGCACAATTGCACTCGTATTTATGGCAAAGTACCATCTGTGTTATAATTTCATAGAAATTTAATTTTTTTCAACTCACAAATTTCATTCCACTTCAAACTGTTCATGTGCCAGTTGCCACAGTTTATGACTTAGGCCCTCTTTTGCTTTCACATTTGCTCCCACTGTACCTGAGTTTACCACTGGCTGTAACACAGCAGTGAAGTGTGTGTGGCCAGTATCAGCTCTTGATATCAGAAGGGTGTGAATGTTGAAAAGAAAACCACAAGAGTACAATAGGAAGAAGTTCTCACAGCAGTAAGTATCTACATTCTGTTTATCTAGGATGTGACACTCTGCCATATGTCACACAGGTACCAACCTACTGATGTTGGTAACCATCCACAAGACAAAACTATGTCACATCCAGAGGGCCATAATCCTGAACAGGAACAACTTTGAGATCTGTGAAATACTTATAAGAGTGAAGGCACAAGAAGCTGCTACTGACCCAAACCTACATATGATCATTCTGGGACTGAAAAGTGAAAAATTTCTAGACTGAAAGAGGCATATATGTGTATTCAAAGCAAGAGATGTTATGTTTCCCATGAAAGGTATTAGTTTAAGGGTGAAGAAAACTTCCATACTGAAGAGTACTACCTTCTGGGATGCTATGCCACATAGTATTGCAGAAGCTTGCTGATACTTGGTTGGCTTACACTTCAACTCTAAAGGCGGCGGAACTATGTCAGTAAATTTGTACTTCACTACGTGGGGAAACATCCGGCAACACTAATCATCATAGTCACTGCTGTGAGAATTTCAAATCTCGCATCACCTGTACTGCTGAAATTCTAGGGACAAGATTAAAGTGAGCTGCAAAATCGTCTACCAAGGTGTTCTCTCTACCTACTTACCTATCTATATATCTATCTGTCTCTATATATATTTGCGTGTATCTATGAGACGATGAGCTCCCACAATGAGGAGTACTAAGCCCACAAGCTATCATTTCAACCCTTACAAGTTACACATCACGGCAGTATCTAAGTGCCCATATCGCAGGCATTTCTTGAAGCACTGTTCCACTATTACACAGGGTGTTGCAGGAGGAAAGGTCAATATTCTGGAGGTCACAGTGTCGGTCATTCTAAGCAAAAAAAAGTGTACATGTACATGTGTCCTATTCCGAACTGTTTCCGAGACACAGCTATTTCACTGTACAGTTCCAAAATTGTTGATAAGAGATATTACGTACTGTTTCTAATACTGGTATTTATTGTTCAAGTGAAAAGTTAATAAAGTTTATCCAGCATAATTATACAGTTTCAAAAATTCCACCACCACCAACATCAATGCAGTTTGCAGTCATGTGAGGACATGGTGTGCTTCTCATCTGAATGCATCTTAACTTTACTTTGTGTGGGCGATAAACTCCATTAAGTGATCGAGCAGTTGTCTCATGTACCCACTTTTCTTCTGTACACTTCACTCTTCATCAGACCCTATAAACAAAATTCTAAAGGGGTTAGGTCTGTTAATCTTGGTGGCCAGTTAATAACATTGTCATGACCGATCCATCAATTAGAGAAAGTGTCACTGAAATGCTGAATCACAAGTCAGGCATAATAAGAAGGGCCTCCATCATGAGGAAAGTACACAGCAATCCATGTAGCCAAAGGATCATTCTCTAGTTGTTCTGGTAATCCATTTTGCAGAAAGTATAGGTAATCATGTCCTGTCATATGATCATCTAAAATAATGGACCAATCACTGATCATATCTCACCACACACTGATAGAGAAACGACACTGAAATTTTGTTTTCACAGTAACATGTGGATTGTCATGAGACCACTGATGCATGTTATATGCGTTGATTCCATTAAGGGTGAAAGTAGCTTCATAAATGAACATTAGTGGAAGCAACTGGTGATTAGCAGGGCCCAGATTTTGATGACATGTCATCTTTTTTTCCTTGTATCCTATGCGATGCTCTTAAATATATAAATCTTTGATATGAGCTGCTGGTTACAGAAATGTAAATTTTATAGGTAATTTCTTTGGCTTTTAAGGGTATTTCTTGTCATTTTTGGCCAATTTAGGGAATTTTTCTTCATATGTTTTCTGAAATGTGAATAATATGGAAGCGAAGTGTTCCTTCTCTTTCCCCTAAGCGCTCTCAACAAAGGCCACAGTATACAATAATAGGTTGTAATCCTGGCTTGTCCTTTCCGTTCGTTTCGCGGAAGTGCTGACAATACATATCATAAAACAGGGTACGGCGATGACTACTTACACTGCGGCTCTTTGTACGAAGCAATTTACTTAGTTACACATATTTCTAGTCAGAATATCTTGCTTCATATGACATTCTTGTTCAACCAGGAACCCCAAAATACAAGTAAAAAATGTTACCACTTGAGCCAATTTGTTTGCTCATGTGATATGGTTGGCACAAGAATGAGGGAGCTCAGACGCACAATATCCACCCCATACGTATCCCTACTTGACGTAATGGTGGGCCTTGTGCAGTTATATGATCCTGACAGCTATGCCATCGGTGGCATAGTTATTGGCAGGGTATCCTGTTCCAGATAGGTCCAACATGATAATCCAGACAAAAAGTATACCTTGTCCTCCAGGTTGAGGGTTGGGCATGGCATTGACAATCCCACCTTCTAAAATGCTTTTAATGATTGTAGCCAGATGAAAACACCTGAAATTACTTAGAAAAATCATGGACTTAATAAGCAGGAACTTGGAATGTGCAGTCCCAGTAGAGAGGGCATTTTCAGAGCATACTCAATGGACGAGCAGACAGACCTGCTATCAGGTGGTTGGATTCAGCTAAAGATCTGAAGACAATGGGCATTAAAAATTGCTGATGAAAGTCACAGGATGACGACCAATGGCGAGCACTTGTAAAAGAGGCCAAGGTTCAACATGTATTGTAGCGCCTGCAGAAGACGATGCATAATGACTGATAAGCATGTATAAGCTGGAGAATACATGTGTTGAATATTTGGGTTATAAAGCAGACACTGAACATGGAACCTTGTCAACCATCGCACTGTGTAAGCTGCCAATCCCCATGTGTCTCTCACCTGCCATTCTTCCCTCACAACAGCATACTTCAACAAAAGCACTATGGCTCCATGCAAGGTGATCAAGTCCTCCTTACTGCCAGTAGGCACACAAGAGAGACTCTGTGTTGCATCACTCAGTGTCCAGTAGCCATTACTGACACTTGTTGACAAGAAGCCCACAAGTCCAGTTGTATGATGGGTAATGTGTAAGTTCCAGGACTGTGAAAATGGCTTATAACCGTTTGCAGCCCATTTCCACAGTTCATTCAAAGTTGCATACATTCCAGCAAAAGTTCTCTGTAAAATAAAAAAATAACAATGAAAAAGTCCACCATCAAAAACTACAATTTTAAAACTCAAACAAAAATTAATGCATTTCTTTATGGTTTACTGAAGGGTGCTGTAATTCAGACTATATAGCATGAACAAACACATATTTATATTCAAGTAATCTTTTTGGATGAACAAGTTTATTTCTGATGATGGCTGCTTCATTCCTGCAGGCTGTAACATCCAACAACACCGTTCTCTTTCTCATGCATTAGTCTTTTCAGTTAGTGCTGATTATGGAAGCAAATAGGACTTACCATACTGCAAAATCAAGACATTTTTCTGCAAGAGTCATTTTACGTAGGATGAGAATATAATCAGAAAATAAGTGAAAATCAAGTTGATGATTTTCCATGCAAATTAACTCTTCAGCTGTGGAGTTCACAAAAACAATAGGTTTACTAGCAGCCAGTTTCTGTGGAGCTTGCATTATTGTAAGTTCAAATTTCATGGCACTATGGCTTTTGCTTATGCGCAGAGAACTGTGTCAGGAAGGGTAGGACATCTGTTGACCATAAGTAGAAACTAGTGCCAACATTACTTGTAAGTTTTCCTACAGACATTACAAAATAGACTTTCTCTTTTCACACAATATAAGACGTAATTTGTGCAGTCAAGTGGTAAGGTACATAAAGAAACATGACTTCTTTCAGACTCAAACAGGCTATCAGAGATTGGTGCTTGACATTACACACTAATGGGTGCCTCTGTGACAAATCTCTGATTCCAAGATTATGATGTTTAGGTGTCATGTCACAATAGAAAACGTTGGATTTGGGCTTCTGATGGCAGTGACTACAGACAGTACTGTCTTCTGGGAGGCAAGACTGGGCAGTTTGGTACAAGTGAACTCACTCTGCTTACTCTTCAACCCTGAAAATGGAAACAGTAGATTCCTCCAAAACAGCAGCAAACTTCTACCACACTAAAAGATTCTACATCCCAGAAGACAATAATCTTCACAATCTAAATGTAATAATCAAAATCTGCAATATGATACTTCTGTTCAACCCATGTTTTGGCTTCCATATAATGTATTACTCCAAACTGTCAAAATACTACTCATGAACAACAGGCACTAATATTAGATTTAATGAAAATCCAATGAAACACAAGACTTTTTATGCTTATGGTGTGAAGAAGAGTTCTTTTATTTGAACCCTCAAACAGATTAATACCAAGCATGCATCACATTTAAATCACAATTTTTGTAAACTTAAATGGTTATAATGTTGTCATTTTTCAACACATGAAAACTGCTTCACAGAATATGTCAAGACAACATAAAAATTTGGCAATAGAAGGAATCTCATTATAGGCACTACAAAACCTGGAAACATATGTGTACCAAACAACAAACATCTCTTTATTGTGAATTATTATTCTGTAACAGTTAAACTATGTGTCAATCATTTTGTAAAAATTGAACTTGATGTAAAAAAGAAAACAAGTCATGCCAGTTCAATATCAGTGAATATTCTCACTTCAGACATGACAGTGGGAATCATCTATACTTGTATGGAGCATATGATCAACTGACTGCACACAGCAGCTATTTGGTCTACAGCTTGGGCTTAACTTCAGTATTTACACTTTGTGCTTGTTCTTATCTGAAGTGCAGTTTTAACAAAATTACATCTAGCCTCTTTATGATGCTATAACAAAGAACCTATATATGACACAGCACCTCAGTGATATGAGGCACCAACAGATGCTTTTCTTTTATTCTTAAGTGAGGCAAGACTGAGTCCTTTGGTATTTAGGCTGTATCAGCACCAGAAGTTACATGAGAGAAATGGCTGATAGCATGAAAACTGACAGCGGAAATAATCCAACATGGACTCACCTGGGACTGAACCATTAGTATTCAAACAAGAAATGAGACTGTACCTACATCGCAGAGGGGGATGGAAGAGTTAGGACTGGCAAAACAAGGTCATGTCGTGGAGAACATAATAAAACATTTGGAATCTTCTTTCTTACTTTCTAAAATGCATTATGCATCCCTGTAACGTGACCAGATAATCCTTTATCAAAATCGAGAAAAGAGAACGAAGCTCTCATTACAGCAGAAATTCTAAGACAGTATTCTGGCTGAAACAGACAATGATTGCTATAAGTTATATAATTAAACTGGGAGTTTACAAAAGAATGCTTGTTATACCAGACTTCCACACACACATGTCAACACAAACACTAAAGTAAATGCTTCTCCCTTCCTGGCCAACCTTAAAAATCAGTTTCTTGAAATGGCTCCAGCATCCCCTCCCATTATTCAAAACATTACACCACAATGCAGCAGATACATGGAGACCAGTCTGAGACTGGCAAACATAACCTGACCCATATTTCTATGTTTCTCTCTACCTCGCCACTTCTTGAATTGTACTTACTGATTTCAAAACAACACACCGATGTGGAGATAAAAGGAACTCCCTGCTGAATGATCGCTGTTTAATGTCCTTTTCCTTTGATGGGTAAAGGATATTCACAGTTCTAATGAGCACAGTCTGTTGTAATTGAGGCACTGATTCACTAAGGAGAAAGGAGATAGATACAAAGCTGTTACACTGCTTATATCAGTTTCGTTTGACTCAGCCTCAATGACTTTACTGCCTAAGAACACATTTCAGTTCCTTTATGATATGCATGCATTCTCAGACCACTGTCAAGTCGATAAGCTAAAGGTAATGCCAACTGTGTGCTTAATTAGATACAATTCATCTTTAACCTCAGCATCAGATGGAGGTGAGTGCTCAGCTTCAAGCCCTGGCTGCTTTACCAAGGAATGAGTCCCCCTAGACCCACTGGATAGGAGAATGTGTAGTCCCATAGCTGGTCTGCACACTGGGTCCACGCTGGCAATCAAACCCTCTTTTCTTGGTTGCCCAGCTGCTACATTGACTAAGCTACTTATTCTACTGAAATCTTCATGCAAATAAATATATTCTGTCCCCCAAGTTCTGGTTCTCACAACCAGTATAGTTTACCCTTTAAAGCACAGTGGTAACTATATGCACCATATACTTAAACATTAAAAAGCTCTGCAATTTGCATACAGACTATATTTATGTAGTTTGTATATTCTCAGAATCAACAGTGATTATTCCTCTGAAACGCAAATAACCAATTGCTCTTTCTAATGGAGACATAATATAGTTCTCTAATGCAGGAAATGAATTTCTAAATGTTACACAAATGAATTTTAGGCTTCAAAGTGTTCAAATAGTTGCAAATGTTTTGTTTCATTGCCCCAAAATTGCTATAGTACAATAGATATTTTTCTGAAAATTAAGTTACTGTTCTTGTACTTGTGTCATCACACGTAGTGCAGTTACAGATAAAAGGTAAAGTTGTCCCTGTGCTTAGTGAATTATGCACTATGCTATGAATACATGGGAAATGGAGGTACAGGTCCACCATTCTTGACCTTGGCATTAGATGGAGGTGAGTTATGGCAGTTATCTCTCATAAACAGAACAGCCATTACTTGAAAACCGAAGAACTGACAAGAAGGCAGCACTACTATTTTCTAAATATGACACAAATATTATTATTCTGTGCAAATATAACTGAATATTTAACAATGATATTGACTTATTAAATTTTAATAATTTTGCAAGGGAAAGTCAGAAATTATCCATACTTTCGCCATAACACACTGCCTTCTGCGCATGCATGCTTAGAGTTGGTACTACCGTGGTCACGTGATCAAAGTTTGACCTTGATCACGTCATTTTCCTTGATGCTGTGACAGTGTAAACATGGCCACTCCGTTAGCAGTGTGCACCAAGGAGGAACTAAGAACAGTGATCTGATTTCTCTGGTTGGAAGACGTGTCAGGGGCTGAAATTCATCGAAGGCTTTGAACACAATATGGGGAAAGTGCTCTACTGCGTAGAAGTATGTATGAGTAGATCAAGAAGTTTAAAAGTGGTCAGACAAGAAATTCAAGACTCAATCTTACGTGGGAACGGTGATGCTAACAGTTTTTTGGGGGGCTCAAAAGGGTCTATTCTGGAAGACTACCTGGAAAAGGGTGTACGGTCAACAGTGCAAGATACAGTGATTTGCTGGTCAACAATCTGAAGCCAGGAATTCGCACCAAATGCCGAGGCCTATTGTCAAAGAAAGCGTTGTTGTTGCATGACAATGCACGCCCACACATGGCCAGCCAGACCACTGAAACCATTAACCATTTGGGTTTCGAGGTGCTGGAACACCCTGCCTACAGCCCAGATCTCGCCCCTTCCGACTATCATCTCTTTGGACCGCTCAAAGATGCTTTACAAATTCGTCAATTTTCTATGGACAAAGTAGTGCAGGAAGCGGTGCATAAATGGTTGCGCGGCCAACCGAAAACCTTCTTCTTTTCACGTCATTCAACAAGCTCCTGTATTCCAGCGCGGGGGGGTGGGTTTGTTGTTGTTGTTGTTGTTGTTGTTGCTGAAGCCAGAAATATACTGTCTGCTTCACCTTGTTGCTGTGAAATTTTCAACCTCGTAATGCTTTCTTAAAAGTGCCAAACACATGGCAGTCAGAAAGAGCGAGGTATGGATTATAAAGGGATGACTTATGGTTTCAAATTTCAGTTTCTGGGTGGTGGTAACTGTTGCAGCAGCAGTGTGGTCACAAATAGTCATAGAGAACGAGGACGCCTTTGGACAAAAGTCCACAATGATGACTGTGAACTGCAGGCTTCAGTTTCTCTTCCAATATGGTGCTGTTGCTTACATTGTTGACTGTCCCTCCTTCCTCCTGATAGTGTTCAAGAACTTGTTCATTTATATCCCAGAATATTGTCAGCATAATTTTTCTGGCAGAGGGTGCCGACTTGAACTTCTCTTGGCAGGAGCGGATGTATGTTGCCATGCCATGGTTTGTCTTTTGGATTCTGGTTCATAATAATGAACTCAGGTTTCATCTTCCATGACATTATGTGTACGAAAAACTTCACCCTCAGCATGATAACGTGTGAAGAAAGCTCTACCACTCGGCAAACATTTGAACTTGTGGATGATGCCATCTGCAGATCCAACACTAATGTTCAACACAGTAGCAACAGTGTCCACAGAAATTTGCCTGTTCTCACCAATAAGAGCATTACTGATGGCTGCACACAGGCAACTTGAGTGATGTTCATCATTAACAGATTTTCAGCTTTCCTTAAATTTTTCTACCCAGTGGTACACTTTCCTTTGACTCATGCAGCTTCCACACTGCTGAATCATTTTTCTGTGAATCTCCCTCAGTTTCACTCCTTCTGACCACAAAAATCTTATTACGGAATGTTGCTCCTCTCTGGTGCAATTTTCTGGCAGGACAGCCATGAGTCTCACAGTGCTTCTCCTTCCATCAGTTGCATGCTGCCAGAACCTGCCCTACAGATGTCTCTGTATGCTGTAGCAGTTTCATAAGGTTGCATCCAATCTTATCAAATCAATTTGCCCTTACTTACTGAAGTCCCCTTGTAATAAAGAAAATGCTTACCAGTAGGACATATGTTTATACAGTGAGCAAGTTTGTCATGTGGAGTGCACTATGGGAGACTGATGTCTGACTGCTCTGTGGTCCCATGTACATTATACAGAATGTCCTAAGAGGAAAGGTCAATATTCTGGGAGGTCACAATATCGGTCATTCTAAGCAAAAAAGTGTATATGTGCAGGCATCCTATTCTGACAGAGTCTGAGATAGAGCTATTTGATTGTACAGTTCCAAAATTGTTGATAATGAAGAGATATTACATACTGTTTCTAATACCAGTATTTATTATTTGAGTGACAAAGTTGGTACAATCTACATAGTATAATACATTTTCGAAATTCCATCATCAACATCAATGCACTCAGTAAATAATGTGAGGATAAGTTTGTGATTGTCCAGTTATAGTTCCAAAATGTGTGAATGTTACCCATATTTGTTTTTATTCAGGGCGTCTTTGTGCCTTCTTTTGTTTTTCTAAATTATAGTTCTATTACTTGCTGTTTGCTGTATCCACTATTTTCGGCAATGTTTATGATACTGTGTAGTTCCTAAAGTCTGCTTGTCTCAGTGGTAGTTTACTGAATCTGTGTATCCAGTTTCTGAACATGGCCATTTTATGTTCGTCACAATGGCATGAAGCATTGCTCATTGCAATAACGGTTGTTGTTGTTGGTTTTCTGTATATGTCTATTTCTACTGTTCCTTGTTTGTAAGCATTTTCATACATTCATATTTTCCTGATTTCATGTTCGCTATGTGACATCATCGGCCAAAGCTTATGGTTGTGAAGTAACAATTTCCAGCAGACAGAAAATGTGGATCAACTGTATTTTGACCACAATCACACTAAATCAAGATACAAGTTTTGGAAGTCTGAAAACTTCTAAACACACTAAATGTGAGTTATTTACTCAGTTTAAATTCACTAAATTTGGAAAATTTATACTGCCATTACTTACACTGGGCTTTGGTTAGGACGAGAACAAATATTCATCAAATAATTTCACAACATGTGGGAACACTAAAGTATGATTTCAATATACACTGAAACTCACATTTAAGTTTGGGAAGTGGATCTGAGCACTTTATTGAGGAAAATCTTAAATGCACAAAATTTAACACAGATCACCGACATCCAATAACTGAAATTGAAAATTAACACCTAACCTTAAGATAAGAACATTTAATGGGGGTTCTGCTGCAGATAACATCTCGAATCTCTTCAGGGCTTTACAGGCTCTTACCTCAGTATTCCATTTTCAGTAAGAAAATCACTGTTAAATTTCTCTTCAACTTGAACCAGCTGCTTCTTTAACCATAAGAGATCATTATAGGTGCAGCTGTGGTTTATATCAGTTAAAATACAGTTGCTGTTGGTCAGTTCTTGTGACTGGCCACTGAAAAACAAATTACAAGTATAAGACTGTGAAATGATTTCACCTGCTTTCAAGTAATTATAGAAATTTATATATCAAACTGAAATAATGTGTTCCAAAGTAATCAATTTTCCAGCTTTTGTACATGAATCACAGAACACTGATTTTAATTTAGTGTAACACTGAAATTTCAAAGCACACCATCTATCAGTGTACAATACCCTTGTAATGATGCATACTGTTTGTTTGTCCATTTTTAACTACATAACTATCACACAAATTTTATTCTGCAAATACAGTTTATTCCAAGAAATATCTATTTGTTTTTACCATCATCAGGCAGAGATCATTACACAAAACATGTACAGATAACTGTCATAAATATAACACAAGTTGGTAGGACCAGCTATTACTTGTTATTTTTCCACAAGAACAATCAGTGGATTATACAACTTATGGGTCAGTGACATGTGGGCAATTTAAAAACTATGTAAGATTTGAGGCTTTCATGGCGGTGACTATGAAGAAAGCAGTCTTCTGGAATTTGGCACCGTGTATATGTGGTGTTAACCGACGTTTTGGAGGAACGTATCGCCTCCATCTTCAGGGTAGAAAAAAAAATATAAGAGATCTGCAAGCGAAGAGACTGTGAGAACTGGTAAAAGCAGTCTGCTTTTACTAGTTCTCACCAAACCGAGACGCACTGATGCAGAAGAAAATGGACAAAAAGATAATCTCTCAAATGACTGCAAGAAAGATAAGATTAAAGAGCTGAAAAGAGCTTTGCTATTCTGCTAAACTCATTCCTGATAAGGGAATTCATGTGGGAGTTCTCCCATATGGATTTCCCTTAGTGGAATAAAATGTTGTATTTTCAAATTTCTCTATAACTTTTGTTCAAAACTATTATCACTCAGGTTGATTCTGAAGCTCACAAAAGCAGACTTCAACTGGGCAGTACAGCACATCGGTATCAGCCACAGGCCACACCTCAAACAGCAAGAGATATGAATCCTGCTATGCTGCAGCAGCAGGTGCTGTCTGGCTCAAAAAGCTTGCATCTTCTTAATACTATCACCATTTAACCAGTACCCCAGTATAAAATCTGGCCGTAAACTCCATGGCAGAAAGTATCCATCCCCTACTCCCAGACCATAATGGTTAATGAAACAGATCATTTCCACTTACTGCACAATAATAGAGCTTCTGCCGCACAAAACAATATGATGCTTGTGATCAGCTTCATTTTTCCATGAATGAGCATTGTAAACAGACACATTCTGGCCAACACATGGAACAGGAACATCTGTGTGCTTCATCAGGAAAGCAAGACAAAGCTGAACACCATCATGGAGTTGGTAAATTCCCAGTGAAGCACAGGATTCAACAACTTTACCCTGAAAGTGTTCCAATATATTATGTACTAGTACAGCAAAATACTGATAAGTGGGTCTGTAGTCACAACAGCAGAGCATGCAAACAATGGGATATAGCCTCCAGATAAAAACGGTAATTGCAAATATGCTCAATCAGCAGTTCTGTGATGTTTGCAGGACATGAGATTAGTATTGTATAAGAGTAACTGCCTACACAGCTGACAGTGCAGTTTGAATATGGTAAAAAAGGTAAAGGTAACAGGCCATGGAGGCCCATAGGGTTGTGAGATGTTGAGCTTCCCACATTTTCTAGAAAATCAGTTCACAGATGGCGGTGTAACCGTACGTTCCTCGCCAAAATTATTTAACTAAGGGCATGAACAACTGATGCATTGCTTAATACCATGAGAGATGCTCCTCCGGCGAGATACCATCCCAGGACCGTCTAGTTGTAATTCAGCGATTGTCCTCCTTAGGCTAAGAGTGCCACTATTGTTCCTAACGTCGCCTGTTTACTCCCAGTATCATAAACCCATGAACTGAACATGTGCGAGACTGGCCAGTAGGGGTCTTGCTTGCCTTGAAGACCTAAAAAAGTTTACGGGCTTCTCCAAAAATACGAATGTAGGTCAGATGCCGGGCTTCAACCTTGGCTTTCTCTTTTTATGTTTCTATTTTTTTTCGTTTTTTTAGGTCAACTGGGGGACTGGTAAAGAGAGGGCAGTCGGTTATAGGGAGTGGAGGAGGACAATAGTTGAAACGTAGATAGAGAAGAGAGAAGGGTTTAACAGTAGGGTAGCGAGTAGGGCGGACGGAGCGGCTAGCTTGAAGGACAATGCAAATATTAACTACTGAATAAAATTTTAAATTAAAAGTGCAATATTCAGTGTTCTGGAGATCCCAGATTTATTAACCCCGAAGTGTGTTCCACTTCCATCTCCAGAGCACCCGTATCCTGAGAAAAAGAACCCAAGCTCGAGCGCAAGTCATGGCAGCTGTACGTCGGCTGTTGGCTACAGCAGTGAGGTTGTCAGTCTTATTCGCCAGCTGCCCTTTATCCCCCAGGAATATTCCTGGTACTCATTTCTGTTAGAGGCTGAGTCATAGTGTGGCTGGAAGGATTAAGTCAATTGAAAAATCCACCTCATCGAGATTTGATCNCCCGTGACCTTCTGGCTTGTAGCACAGCGCCTCAAGCGACTATGCTACCGTGCCCCCCCCCCCCAATTGTAGTGCCCATAAACCAATACAATTTCGCAGGAACACTATGTCCTCAATGTTAGGATGATTTGTGAATAAAGTGGGCATGGGCTAATTTGAGGTAGTATCCCAGCATTTGCCAGGACAACTGTGAAAAGCCAGTCAACACAGATGGTCTCCAACCAAAATGTGAACCCAGAACTTCCTGAACACAAATGAGTTCTACCCACATAATAGCAATGTTCAGTGATATGTGCAACAGAACCAGAACTTGTCATTCTCAAAGCATAAAACGGGCTATGACAAACACACAAAATGTAATCACCTCGTAATTAGCTGTGCTAAATCCAGGCTCAGGCAGCATTCTTTCAGAATCCAGAAGCAGCATAAAACTTGATTCAGGAGTTGTTTCCAATATAAGGATAGCAGTACCATCCTACAAGAAGCAAATTGGTGTAATTTCAATTTAAAGCCAGTGCTGATGGGATCAGGTGACAGATGGACAAACTCCGCAGCTGCTGACGATGCATGACATGGCTCTGGACTCCTGTGACAATACTGGTACCCAGAAATGGTAATGAGTATGAGTTCCATCCCACTTCTGTTTATAAGCATCCTGTTGCATTAATGCTTCTTCTGCATACATATATTTCTGTCTAAAATGCAACTTATTATTTTGACAAACTTCTCTGGCATGACATGGCCATTATCAGATGCACGTCTATCTTGCCAGAATTGTTCCAGCGTATGGTAAAGTTATATATCGCATGTGAACAGGATGTTTATTGAAGAAAGCAGTCTTCTGGGATTTGGCACCATGTATATGTGGTGTTAACCGACGTTTCGGAGGAACTACTTTTAATGGCCCCCAACCCTTTGCCCAGGACAATACCCAAGCAGGTTTCATTTAAACAACACCATAATATTAACTGTTCTTCAGAGCTTCTAATGCCTTTGATTAGTAATTAAGATTGTCAATGTTCTTTCAATATAGCAGTACACAACTTACACTGTACAGAATCTGCTTTGCATGAAGATGTGTGACCCTGTACAACTTCCCCATGGTTAGATTCTTGTAGAGTGCAAGGTGCTGTCGTAAAGCTATGTGGCACAGCTGGTGATCATGCATTAACTCCATAAATGCAACCCGTGGCTTCGTGCTAGAAATACAAGTAACAATGTTGCTTGATGCTACAAATATTTTAAAAATTGAGCCAAATAGAACATAAAAATTAAATGCAAGAGAGAGCTACAAGGATGAGCTACTCTATTGCTGGACCTCGGGCAAAGGGGCTCCCCTCTCTATACTTTCCATTTAAAAATGAAACCTTTACAATCCGATATGAGCACAAAATATATTTACATTAACAGAAGCAAAAATAATAGGAAGAGATTGAGAACACATATTATTTCTTACTGATAACCGTCACAAGACATCAATAACACTTGTAAGCAGCTCTAGAAAATACCTTTGCTACATGTTTCGGTCTTCAATAAGGCCATCATCAGGCAAATACATTAAACCTTTCGTTATTGAATTGCATGTTAAATATAAGTCACAGTGCTAAACTTCCAAGTATATACAGTGATATAAAATGATATGAGTGAATACAAATATAAATTACAATAAAAGTTAAAATCTTAATTGATCAGTTACATAGTCAAAATTATAGTTAAAAATTGTATATGTGATGGTACATAACAGTTGGTAGTTGTAATCTATCTCTCCATGAAATAGGACATTTACACAATGGAGTCGCCTGTCAAATAGTAGTATCAAATATTAAGCAATAACATACAATATAACAACAGGCCTCCGAACACCACATCAGCCATTGTGCATATGATATGTCCGTATAAGCATTACACGTATTACGATTGCCACTACCAACTTCCAAGTACCATCACATATACAATTTTTAACTACACTTTTGACTGTGTAACCGATCAATTAAGATTTAACTTTTATTGTAATTTATATTTGTATTCACTCATATCATTTTATATCACTGTATACACTTGGAAGTTTAGCACTGTGACTTATATTTAACATGCAATTCAATAACAAAATGTTTAATGTATTTGCCTGATGATGGCCTTATTGAAGGCCGAAACATGTAGCAAAGGTATCTTCTAGAGCTGCTTACAAGTGTTATTGATGTGTTGTGTTGTGACAGTTTTCAGTAAGAAATAGTATATGGTACACAACAGGATGCATTCACTGAGAATTAAGAACACATAATCTAAAAATATCAAGTGTAAAGTAAAAAAGTAAATCTATCCCTGCACAGGCTGTGAAGGCCCATACGGTTGTGAGATGTTGAGGGTCCCACACTATCTACACAATCGGCTCAAAGATGGCGGTAAGGTTGTCAGCCTTACGTGCCAGCCGCGCTTTACTCCCCAGGAAAATTATTAAATTAAATTGATCTAATCCTTCCAGCCGCACTAGGCCCTGGGATTTTTTACTCAGCCTCTAACAGAAATGAGTAGCAGGAAATATCAACTGTACATATACAAATTATCTGAAATCTACACAGACCAAGAACTCCACAGATGAAGAAAGCAGTCTTCTGGGATTTGGCACCGTGTATATGTGGTGTTAACCGACGTTTCGNTGAAAGCCTCAAATCTTACAACTCCACAGATGTTTTCTTGAGATAAGTGGAATACTTGAGGAGACTAAACTTACCTTTCCCCGGGGGGTAAAGTGGCAGGGGCATGAAGCTGACCACTCACCTCCAGCTGGTGCAGAGGTCAAGAAAATGTGGATCCATACATCCACTCTCACATATGCTTTCATGGCACAGTGCTAAATTAGTCAAGCAGAGGGACAACTTTGCCTTCAATCCTACAGGAAAGAGAATAGGGGGAAAGAAGACAGAGAAGGAGGAACAGAAAATGTTTCCTGCTCACTGCGCATGCACCATGGCTCAGCCTTCTTGGTGCTGTGGTTTAGTAAATATCATCAGCAACATGACTGGTTGTGCAGTAAGGAAACGCATTCCAGTTGAACTATAGCCCATCCATACTGAACACATGCAACAATTACGCTTCCAGTTCAAGATAAGAGCAAAGTGAAAATTTGGAAACTTTATGAGAACTTAAATGAAAATGAGAAATTATCTCCACTAGACCAACTTTTTACTGTAATCATAGTTTATACCATTAGCCTCCCTCTCACAGTGCAGTAAAGTGTCCTATGTATCTACTGCTTCTAATATAAAATACTGACTGCATAATGAGGAGCTTCATAACTTGTACTCTTGGCTGTGCCATAGCTCAAGCGGTTAGTCGCTGGCTTCCCACGGCGGCAGCTAGGGTCTGGTCAAGTGGGATTTGTGGTGGACAAAGTGGCGCTGGGGCAGGTTTTCTCCGAGTACTTCGGTTTCCCCTGCCAATCTTCATTCCACCAATTGCACCACAACCACCCTCACCTATCATCTGGGGCTGGTGCAATAGGCCAGAAGTGGCCACAGTACAAGCGACTTAGTCCCACCCCACTAGAAAAAAATTGTACTCTTCGTCAAATGTAATTACAACGATCAAGTCAAGGAGGGAGGGATGGGTATGACATGTAGCACGAATGGGGGAGTGGAGAACTGCATATAGGATATTGGTGGGAAAGCCAGAAGGAAAGAGAACGCTAGGAAAACTAAGATGATAGAAACAGAAACAAAGCCCAATTTTGCAATTACAGCAAAGAAAAGGCGCCACTCTTTTTACCAATATCGGTGGAGTTTAGTGGATATTACAGTCTTGATACTTACTTAAACACATGACTGAAAGCCACCAGCTGACCCACAACAGTTTTTAATGTGTGACGCTTACTCTTCTGTCCACTCTCACCAGCCATGACACTGCAATCAAGAATCATATCTATCACAAAATTCAGATGATATGATTTATATCAGCTACCCAGCATTTTCAGATTATCCAAGTACATATATGGATACACAGAGCATTAATGCATACTTGTGTTTTGTTGCATCCTGTTGTGTAAATTCATTACAGGTTCAATAATGTTTATTTTCCTTGTCAACACAACTTAAAAATTCACACCCGGAGTCAAGGCAGGGTTTTCAAAGTTTGCATCCTTGTGTCCCAGAAACCACATTAACACAACACATTAAACACATAATGGCAGGTGCAAGTGGCACACGGGGGAGGGCTGTGTGTGTGTGTGTGTGTGGGCGCGTGTGCGTATCCGCATGTATACATTTTGCCAAAATGCAAAGTTAATGTTCGAAGCCTGAAAGATGTCCAAAGTCACAAGCCCTGTTCTATGTATAAAAACTGTCTCTTAAGTACAATTCACAATCAACCTCAGATATAAGATTTTTCTCATTCACTGCAGCGAATGTGCAGGACCTGTCAATTTATAAAATACTTGTATTGTGACCTAACACATTTTCTCCAGCAACAAATATGCACACAACAGGGGAACTGTTGGAAGTGGTGCTTCTATCCAGTCTGTGCCAAAATTATATAGGGTGGACAGTCATGAGTCCCGTGGAACTCTAAAACAAGAATCACTGCGGTGACAAGAGCCAGCAGTCAGCTGTTGGCCAGCAAAGACAAGAGCCGTTATGCACAGAAGCAGTACAGATGAACCCTACTGTTGGAAGCTGCTACCAAGTAACCAGTATATAAAAGACAAAGTGGACTGAGAAGACTTCGAGTGTTCTGTAGTTATTAGTAGATTGTGTAGAATAGTGAAAGTATTGCAGTTATCTGAAGTTACAGGTAATAAGCATTCAATAAATTCAACGCTCAATCCAAATTCTATGTGTAGTCAATAACATGAGACAATATATTAGTATACATATTCACACATAATGTAACTGATAACTAGGGACGAGATTTTTATGCCCTAATAATCCCTTAAATATATATGCATTTATGCATGAAAAACTTCTGAAATATGCACTAAAATATGCATATAAAAATTTATACCAACTATTAAAATTGATTTTACATTATTTTAAGACCAACAAATCAATATTTAAGTTCATTTTATGTAACCACTGAATGAGTCACTTGCAATAAAAAGCTATACTCAAATACAAATCATGCAACAAAGCCAACATGTTTCATTACAAATTAAAAAACCAATGGTACTCACATTTAGCTCTCCGAACTTTCAACTTCTCTTCTGTTGTAGTTCACATTTACTAAATGTTTTAGGTTTTCCACAGTTAGTCGCCTCCTATTGTCTTGTAAGATGTCTTTATAGCGGGAAAAACTTCTTTCCACCTCACAGGCACACGTACAAAAGCCGCTATTTGCTTCACTGTTAGTGATTTTTTACTTGGCAGTTCAGTACGTTTACCGGCTAAAATTTCTTCAATTTCACAAATTTGTTCATATCCTGGTTTCTGTTAAAAGAGTGCTGTGTACTTTTTCCTTTACTACTTCAGCAACTCTTCCAGGAACCAAATTCAATTTGGAAACAGTGGTTTTGAACACTTAACGTCTTATACAAAGTAGTATTGCTATTGCTTGCCTCCAGTGAGGAAATGGCAGATGGAACATGAGAGAAGTGAGCAGATATATAGGAAAGATTAGTTTCTAGTTCTGCGTTTTTTAGTACATCTTGGGCAATTTGAATTGATGCTGCACTTTTGGAATCAAATGTATTCATGACATTCCTAACTGTTTGGTATAATAACTCGCTGCACACAGCCCCGTGCCCCAGCGTGTTAAAATTGGTTCTGGCAGAAGTGGAACGCTCGGTGCTACTGCTTTAAAAGATTATTTTCTGTATGGTGCTTTAACAAATACATTCTTCACAGTAGGCACCAACTTGTCAACAAGCGGAAAATTTGCACAAATTCTTTCTGCAACACGGCGCAACCCATGGACAAGGCAAGTCAAATGTGTCATATTTGGAAATATAACTTTAAGAGCAGTATCAGCTTTCATCATATAACTTGCAGCATGTCACAAAGAGCAATATGCGCTCATACTGAATGCCATTCGGCCATAGTAAATTCATGGAATTGATAAAAGATTCGGAAAGTGCGGAGCTATTTGTGGTTTCAAACTGCTCTACCACAAGAAGACATGGGGTAGATTGTTCATTCTTATTAAGGGATCCAACTATACAATTTGCAATGAACTGTCCCTCACAATCTTGTGGTTCGTCGATTGATACCCACACAAAATTATCTTGAATCTTGTCTCTAATGCTTTCAATTGTAAGATCATAACACTGCTTCACGTAATTTTTGCACACAGTATTTTCATCCGGCACTTTGCGCTGTGTATACTTCTCTATGAAGTTTCTCAGAGTAGGACTGGTTAGTATCCACAGCGGATACCTGCCCTGTATCTGGCTGTCTGAATTTAAAATAAATGAACATGAACACCATCCACCATCAACGGGTACACACACATCAGAACGTTCCTCTGAGCTATTCGGTCGGTGCTTGTCGCTGGCGGTCCTTCTCTGTGACCGTTATGCATACCGTCATTACTCTTAATGTAATTATAACATAAACATATGAATACAGTCCATGTGTTTATCGTCCGTCAATATTGCAACAGTTGTTTATTCACTACTTAATTTTAATTTTAGTTTAAAGAGAACACAACACGCTGTGGAGAAAATATGAAAACCAGGGGCATAAGGCAGTCATAATTGGAAAGTAAGCTACGAACGTGAGGGGGCAAGCTGCCGAAACAAACCACCCTGGAGAGACACACATTTATGAACAATGGATGACACTCCATGTGAGGTGAAATAAAATGCACCAAAATAACGTGGGTATAATAGAAACTTTAAAGGATTTTATCTGGTCTTACCTTGAAAAGAGAACTACAACGTGTGATTTTAACACGGACTAAGACACTGTAGCAGTTTTAACATAATTTAATAAAATATTTGTAACATATCAAGACATCTGAAGATGGCCTTTTGGGGCTGAAACATGTGGTGTCAAAGTGTATAAAGTTAAACTAAAATTAAAATTAAGTAGTGAATAAACAAGTGTTGTAATACTGACGGCCTATAAATACATGGACGTTAAGTTAAACAATTGCAACAGGATGCTGAAATACAGATTAAGTAGGACATTATACCTACCTGTACTTTATTTCTGCGTACCAATGTCAACAGTGTCCCACTCACGGTTCCTGAGTCAATCTCGTCAATCCCATAAACTCTGTACTACAAACCAAAAGCAAAAAGCACGAATCAACAACTAATACCAAATACACAAATACTTCATGCAACATCTCTAATCGCGCGGGAAGCAGTTGAACCCAATTGAATTAAACGTGTGTTCAAAATGCTACTGGATGATATATATGACGTCTCATTTTACACTACTGCCATCTATGAGCATGAGTATAAGTATAAAGGGTCAGCCATAGACCCCGGCGCTCGCATTGCGACCTTCAATGATTTATTGTGCTTATCCTTTGGATTAACCGTTTATTTATCCTACACTTCGAATGAAATGTAGTACTTTATTTTTGGGGGCATCATAAAAGATACTTGGTTCCATGAAGAACTGACCCAGATGGCGATATCTTAAGTAAGCTATAGCCTCACAATCACATAAGATGTGTGTGGTTGATTCGTCTTCTTGTAGGCACCTTTTTCACAAGTTGAGTCATCTTTGAAAAGGTGCCCATTTAGGTGACAGTGTTCGGTACGTTATCCTACCACCCATCTTAGGTGATCTATGTTTAATTTTAACAGGCCCCTCGTTCTCTTGGCAGAGGGTCCTGATATAAATCCTTTGGTCCAGTTGTGGACAACTGTTCTCTTTTTTTTCTGATTTCTGTTAGTCCAGTCCCTGGTCGCTTTCTTGGCAACTCTACTGAGATGCCGCAAGCTGGTTCAGGTCCTGTTCTTGCCAGGTGATTGCGGTTTCATTCCCAGCAATACCCTCATGGCTTGGCACACATATCAGCAGGGGCGGTGTGTCATTAGGGGCTAAAGGGGCTAAGCCCCACCTGATTTTGTTGTAGTATTGAATTTTCATATTCATTCATATTTTATTCTGTTTATTGAGATCAAATTTGTATCAAAATATTAATATTTCTCGTTATCATGACGTAATTAAGGCGACACGAAAATGCAATAGTGATGTATTGGCCATATCACAGCTTATTTGTACGGTTACAATAACGCAGGGGCTAGCTCGTCTCTAGCCCTTCCTGTGTGTATCGTTCAGTGAATTCAGGGATTCTAAGTATCCCATGCGTCTTGAAGTGACAAGCTTGGGGATAGTTTTGACAAAATCCCGCAATAAAAAAGAACACTATACACAAGGCTTAAAGGGAAGGGGGGAGTGTGGATGTTAATGTGAACTTACCTCTATTCTTCCAGCCTTAAGTAACACGTTCTTTGTAAGAATAGACAGAGGGTAGGTTTTCAGACACCATTCAGATTCCATCTTTCAGCTGTGTTTTGAGCAGTGGAGAAGATACAAGTTCGGGAATAAAGTAATTTTAGCGTAGGCCTAAATTAAAGTTGTTTTTCAAGTGTAATTTCCAAATTAGGTTTTAGGTTAATATTGTATTCCTATTAGAATTAGTGATTAATATGAATAGGGTGGACGCCCTTCTGAAATCGCCGTCCTCAACTTTGAGTTTAGAAGAGAAATTACAAGTAAATCTCTTGGCGCGTAGCAACCAGCAGATTTCAAAATTGATCAGAACTGCAAGACTCAGAAAAGAACGTTTCCGTTATCTTGGTTTCACAAGAAGAAATGGCTGACTGTAAGTGAAGAAAAGAAATCAGTTTTTTGTTTTGTGTGTTTATTGTTTGGTGGGGAAACGAGTTGGACTGTGACAGGTATAACTGACCTTAAACATTTGTCAGAAAGAGTTAGAAAACACGAAGCGTCGCAAAGGCATATTGGATGTAAAAG